CTTGGTTTGGATGGAGCAAACACCCTGCCTGAGAAAAAAGAACCCGAGCCTGAACCTTCCCCAGAGCTAAAGCCGATCATCCCAAGCGACGATGACCTGCTTAATGATACACCAGAAACCTCACAGACTCCTTCTCTCGATGACGAGGAGCAACCTCCCGCAGACGAACCTCAACTTCAACTCTTCATTGAAGCACAACAACCTGAGACGGATCTCTCTAAGCTGGAGCAGCGTGAAATAAGAGAACCCCACGTTGATGAACAGGACCAGCCTGTCAAGGAAGAGCCAAAGAAGGAAGACACAGAAGAAGCCTCATCGGAGACACCAGAAGCTACGGAAGTCGAGGAGGAAGAAACAATTACTGTGGAAGAGCCGCTGCTCAAACCCGAGTATGATGAAGACCAGACCTATCTTTTGACAAAATGTCTGAAGCTATGGAAGAAATATCCTGATCCATCGAACAACATCCTTAGCCCGACCAACATGGCACCTCCAACAGACGGTCTGATGACAGACGGTCCAGCGCAGCCGACACTAATCGCAACAGTTATCCGAGTACCAAAGAACCCCAAAGTTCTGAAAGGCGGGTACTTGATGATTCCGAACAGCGACTCGACTCGTTGGGTCAAAAGATTCGTCGAGCTGCGGCGACCGTACCTTCATTTGCACTCTGCTACTGATGGTGATGAGGTTGGGCTCATAAGTTTGCGAAACTCTCGTATTGACAGCCAGCCTGGGGTGTTGGGCCTGCTTCAGGGCCCCGATGATTCTGGAGCGCAAGGTCAGGATGGGGGAACTGATTTCACACCAGGACATCGACGAACTGCTTCAGGCCGTGTTATCTCTACTATATGGACAGGCAGTGGACCTGGTGCCTCATCAGGAGGACCAGGCCTTCAGCGACTACCAGAGCGGATGCAGTCCGCAGTGTTTGCCATTTATGGGACAGACAACACTTGGCTATTCGCAGCACGGAGCGAGCGTGACAAGATGGACTGGATCTTCCGAATCGATCAGACATACATGTCAAGCAATGACAGCGTCCCCGGAAGTGGGATAGCCAGCCCCTACCCCGGGAGCGATTTCTAGAGCAGGGTGAGCCTGTTTGTTATGAGAGTAATGACTTGCAACGTCCTCTTGGGGAAATGATTTTCTTTGTAGCTATTTGATGGTGAATTAGATGAGATGACTTATACCCCCACAGGAGGAGGAGGGCACGCCGATCATGTAGATTTGCTTTAAATTTTTGGATACATCTTAGATAAAAGAATCAATTGAGAACCATAGGCAAAACCAGGTGCAATGGCCAATGCTGAGTGAGTATCCGATGTTATGTTGTACGTACCTGTGCTGTTACCCCTATCAGCCATTGTGAGGCCATGCTAAGTCAAATACCGTTGAGCTGCAATGGTTCTAATGCAAGGGAGACCAATACTGTGAACTAGAGGCTCAATTATGCTCACGCTATATGACACAGCCAACATGAAGACCATCAGAGCCGAGGACAGCTACCAAAGTTCACCTCCTATAGATATGCAAAATATGTTGGATCTCTCCTTGTCACAGCCAAGTGATGCTCACCCACAAGGTATGCAACGATGCAACGGTGTTTCCGCAGTACAACATGTACAACATTGTACGTGGTGAAAGATGCATGCAGCGCATTTTCAAAGTTGTGCAGGTGATATAATTGGTGAGAGGCTGCAAGATACGTAATCTCAGCAATACAGTGGTGATTCAACTTGACAACGCATGAATGGCTCGAGTGTCTTACATTTTGTGATTCTAGTGTGGGAGCCGGGACGGAACAGATCATCCCGTTCCGTTAACCAATAGGGCATCTGCCACAGGTAGTTAGAAATTTGGTTTAAGGCCAGGGATGCTCGGGGAAACGGCTTCGGGGCGAAGCAAGGGAAAAGTTGGGGGGCTGCCCCCAGAATTCCTCGAGAATTCGATTACGGAGGTATAAAGCTAGGCATGGGAACTTGCACCGAGATTATAACGTTTGGGGTTTAAGTGCTAATGGCGTCCCTGGGGATGGTATTGGGTAACAAGACTAGGTCACCAAAAGAAAACAAAATTGGTATGCCTACCTTTGTCCCTTGGGCATCAGAAATGAGCCTACGAATTTGTGATTCTGGGACCGAACATTCTTATTGATCGCGACGAAAAGATGTGTTTTCGAGTTGTGTATAAGCCAATTATATGTAGCGAAATATGCGCAAGGTGCCTTAGTATTGGTAACGGTCAAGGAGCATACATCATGGTTAGCAATATGACAATGTCTATCGATTGGTTCGGTGATGCCCCAAAGACGTCCCGATTTGTTGGATAATGGTATTCTATCAAGCGCTGGGCCATTATTATTGCTTTGATAGCACTCGTTGCAACGATAGCGATGGTGACACAGGTGTCAGGCCAGATTCCCGCAACACCAACATGTGCCGGATCAACACTGAAATTCCTCAAGTTAATGAAGGCTCTTTTTTGGTTGTGAATGCTACAGCGAACATTTTACCTGTCGAGCAAAGTATTGTTCGCCCAGACTGGTGGATCGTCCCTCCATGCGCGGTTTAGCCGCTCCCTGGAAAGAGGATGCCAAGATAAACTTATCAGAGAGGCCACTAAACTTGGGCTAACTTACCTGAATCTTTTTATCATTTAGAATTGAGGTCATGAATTTTATTGCCCCCTCTAGCCACTGCCAGTTTCATATCTCGATTAATGCCAATGTGCAGGTTGTATTGCAGCCCTGATGTTACCACGTCCCCAATGTTGAAGACAAATACAGCCGAACCAGGATGAAGGAAGAAGAGGGGAAAGGAAACCGCCGAAGGAGGAAATGTTTACGAGACAGGGTCCCATTTGGCCCGCTTATTAATAGTCACCCAACTCAAAATGAGAGAAGAGGTTTCTGAGAGGTGAAGGCAGACCCTAAGGGATCGGCAGAAGCATATCTTCCAGGGACAACTTTGACAAGGACAAGGAGTGTTTGAGAGGCCAGGAATGGCAGAAGTAATTGAACTTTGTGTACCAAGAAAAACGTAAAGAGGTGCCTCCAGCGGTAAAACATTGACTCTGAGTTGCCAAGTTACGCAGCAGCATGTGCATACTACTATAAGGATGCATTGAGTTTGGAAGAGGCTACTAACTTCACGTCAAAAACTGCAGCTAAGTTGACATGAAACGCGGGACGGTACGATGCCGGTAGCAGTAGAAGGCGTGTTATGACAAATATTCCTTAGCTACTGGGAGATGGGCGTCCAGGCAACTTTTTCCAAATCATGGCGTTAATTGTGCTCATGGGCTGTCCCTTAGTGAGTTTGTCACGAGAGACAGATTGAGTTTCTACCAGTTTCAGAGTTAGAGCCAACTTTAGTTGCATGACTAAAAGAATTGGGGCCGGAGTAGCCCATGCTGAAGAGGGATAAAATATGTTAGATCATATTAGATCTTGAAATGAGAATGATGAGCGATGTGTTTTCAATACAGAATCAAACGGAGACCGTTCTAATCTATTGATAAGCTTGTTCTAGTGACGTCCGTAGCTTGACATGCCTGAGGGTAGAGTCCCGATGGCTTTACAGATATTTTTGGCCTTTATCATCCTTGTCATAGGTACTCAGTCTTGTGACAGTAGTTCCAGGAGATTTCTATCACAAAGCGAAAATTGAACTCTAGGTCGTACATCTAATGCTGGTAGGTGCTATCGTGACTGGTGATCTCATCGACTTGTACCCTCCTTCATTGATCAAAAGCATGCATTTCTCATCCACTCCCCACGGATCTCAGAATAAATTACTCTAATCTCCTCCTATTCAACTCTCCCTTGATAACTACCCCCAAAATCATATCACATCACACCATATCATTTCGCATCACGCATACAAGAAAAATCTTCTGGCATGTGTCGTCGGTTTTGTTGATGTGGCTTGAACCTCTGTTGTGGCTTCTTTGAGCCGCAGTCTTCCAAGTCCATAGGCGTCGACCTAGGCTGAGGATCAACCACCTAACAGGTCCTAAAATGATGCTTGATGAATCGGCCGAACGCTTCCATCTTCATAATTCGCACAGGACATTCGTTGGACAACGCTAAAGAGTCCTCCCAAGATACACATCCACCAACATGAGAACAAGGATCGTGGCCATTCCCAAGCCGTCGGAAGGCCGGTTGGTTGCACCTTGTCCGACCCAGGCCATCGGATTTCATCCCAGCGCCGCCCGGTCGTTAGGCTTGAGCTAGCCCACCCACGTCGTTGGGACCGCCCGAAGCCCCTTGATGAATGAGAGGGATGAGGGACCAGGGTCTTGACGGGAGTTTGTTTTGCGTACCCGAAGTCATTTGCAGGCTCAGAGGAACTACCGTGGCCAATGGTATCTCCTTGCGTAACTCGATACAACGCTAATACCGAAAGTACATACGAAAGGGTTTAGTAAACTCCAGAAGGGTCTTTTCCGTCCTGGTTCAGAACATTGCTTTGCTTGCGCTGCAATGACTCCAGCCTTGTTTCCTCACTTCGTCTCCTCGCAAGGGTTACCAATATGTCCGGACCCATCTGTCGGAATATTACCAGTGAGCTAAGGGATCGTATATGCGCGTTTGTCTCTAGTGGACAGCCACGTAATTGCATACCTTTGCCGTCGTACCTCATCCTCTTCTCATATCCAGTTACCGGTGCATGTCCATGGCGAGTAGTTGGTGAATCAAAGGTAGGCAGCTGCTGGATTTCAAACATGGTGTGATGGGCTGTATTACAAACACGACTCAAAATTCACCTTTTTGGATCCCAGTTCCCGACTGAATGGGTCGCCTCTTGTACGTACAGGCGCTCTAGACCGGGGTAGTCACCACACCAAGACAGCACAGCATCCAATGCCAATGACACATCAGCAACAAGCGCTTGTTCCACTTGCAGTTCTTTTGCGGTAGGGCTTTGTGGCTTTGCCAAGAAAGCCGAGAGCTAGATACCCGTCCCAAGCTGCTGGGTCCCAAGCTGCTAGTCCTGGTCCTTCTTGACCCCGTCCTAGTCTCTTGTCTCCATCCTCTTGGTTCCCTTTGCTAGCTACCCTGACTGAATCCACTCCTCGAGCCTCGGTCGCACCAGGTGTTTGGGTCGCTTCCCGTTCCCTTTCAACTGGCCCTGTCCTTTACTGCATTGCTCTTCTAGGCTTGGCTCCTTTTCTTCTGGTGTTTCTACAGAGAGCGGGGATTCCATTCAAGCTTCTCGCCCTTCTCCATTTCCATAACTAGCTTCTATTTCCCGACTCTCCTACTCTAGCTCCTGGTCTCTCTTGACCTTGCTTGTACTACATAGCACTTCTTCCTGATGCCGCTCTAAGCGTCCCTCTTAAAGAGACGGATCAAGAGTGTCGATCGTCTTTTGCTCCCGTCTTCCCCTCATTGTGCTGCACGCTCCACGATACCAACAAGACCTCCTTGTCGAATTTGTCTCGTGTGTTTCTATCCGCGATTACCACCGGTGCACATATTCGATTCATGTTACCATTGGAGTTTGGCTCCGCATCGGTATCCATAATTGACTACCAAGTCGTTGATCAGAACGACTTTCAGGGCCTTTCAACTTTTTGGACAGTCGGCAGTGCATGGGTCGTTCGCCACCAGGGAAGTCTCAGCGTTTCTCAGCTCCAAGTCCGAGAAGCGCAATTACTCGTGGCAGCATCGGATTGAGCTGCCTTTTCCCCCCCTTCACGATTTCAGCTTAGAGCCGCTTTTGTGCCCTTGCCTGATACTCAGTCCTTGTCGTACATAGCTGTGAATATCTTATGGCGCCTGCTGTAATGGCAGCTCAGTCACCAAGCCATGGCAGTATGCCTAACTCATCACCTTCAAGTCTTCACCATTTTCAGTTTACCTTCAACTGCTCCGCTTCGAATTCTAGGGGGAACAGTTTCATTGAGCCCGATGTATGTACTTTTCTTCTGTACCTTTAGCTCAAGGGCGTGCTGACTTTGTGTAGCCTGATGCTCAAGGCATGTAAGTTGTCGAACCCCATAGTGCACTTTCACCGTGTTAATCCCGCCTAACAAGAACTATCAGAGACTCCGAATCTCTCACAGACAGTGTACAGAATTTCCCAGAAGAATTTGGGCGCACGTATCATGCCTACCGGGCTGGCTGTAAGCTTTGTCTATCCATTCACCACCATGCACCCACTAATGACGCCTTTTAGCATACGCTTTCCCCAATGACCAACTAGAGCGTGAGCGCCTTGATTTACAGAATGAAGCATTAGTAAAACTCTTCGGTGAGCGTCTTTACTTTGCACCACTGTCAAGGAGAGCACCGCCTGTAAATATCCTCGATATAGCTACTGGTACTGGTGACTGGGCAATCAAAATGGGCGACTTGTTTCCAGAAACAGAAGTCGTCGCAACCGACCTTTCACCAATACAGCCTCGAAAAGTACCCCCAAACGTGAACTTCTACGTCGAAGATTCGTATGTCAACATCCAGGCCTCAGGTGACCCTTTGAAAACTTACTGCTTTCTAGCTCTGAGCCTTGGGATTACTCTCAGCCTTTCGATTATATTCATACCCGTGTCACATCTGGCTGCTGGGCTAGCTTCAAGGAGCAGATTGCGGACCAAGCCTTTCAAACACTGAAGCCAGGAGGGTGGTTCGAGTCGCAGGAATACGATGCCATTATAATGTCTGACGATGAAAGCCTTCCACCGAACGGACCTCTTGCAACATGGTTCCGCGAAATCAACGAAGCTTCAGAACTGATGGGCCGGCCAACCAATGTTGCTGCCCATGTCCGTGAGGCATATGTGCAGGCGGGTTTTGTTGACGTTCAAGAGCGAATCTTCAAAATGCCCATGAATGGCTGGCCAAAGGATGAACGCCTAAAGGAACTTGGGCGCATGTGGGAAAGGAATTTTTTGATGGGCCTCAGCGGCTTCTCTTTCACACTTTTCAACCGCGTCTACGAGAGAACTCCTGCGCAGATTGAGGTGAGCATACTGTCAAGGTTTCTCGGATTTATTTGACTTACAGTCGCAGGTGGCACTGGTTGATGTCCGGCGAGAGCTGATCGATACGCGGATTCACGCTTACATACCAATACACGTCATCATCGGCAGGAAGCCATTCCCAGGTGAACGGCCTGTCCCACGAGTGCCATTTACATGAAGGGAAAGCACCGGGGACTGGAACGAACTACCACCGTTTATTAAGTTTTAATGGTTGAGGAAGGGAGCCTGGCAAACGGCTCAGAAGGACTAATTCCAACACCGATAAAGCACCACCACACGAACGATGCATAGCGACAATGGGGACGACTTTGGCTTTTCATATCCATGATACCCAATACTGTCGATACGATGCACATGACTAGAATAATGTATTGATATGGGTTTGGGTACAACATCGTACCGAACTGCACTTTTGATAGCCGCCTGTTTTTAAAGCTCTGGAGTCTGTAATCAATGGCAATGAGATTGCCAGACGACATTACACGTTTCCAAAAATGCTATAGAAGCGACCCGTTTCTTATACAACTGTCTCCTCTCTCACAAATGTTAGTCTTAATCATTGCCCTCAAACATTTACTCCGATCTTCTCACGAGCCAGTCCAGCTCGCGGGCTTGCTCTTCGTTGAGTAGTTCACGAATTCCTTGTTGAGTGAGGAATGCATGGTCGTGATATTCAAAGCCAGGGACAACCGTCTCTGAGATCAGCAGGCCCTCAGTTTCCTCACTATTTGACTCATTGCCGGTATCTGGCTCGTTGGGGAGCAAGTAACTTGCCTTCCAGACATCACCTTCGACGATCCATTGTATACGCTCGCCTCGTTCAACCGCATTGCCGACAATAAAGGACTCGATGCGCCCATCAGGGTGGATGAGTACATAGCGTCCCCGTCCACGATGCAAGGTATGAATAACACGGCTGCGGTTGCGATGGAAGCTCCCCTGACCATGGCGTGGGGTTAGTAGGTAGTAAATGGTGGTAGAGAGACGTCGTGTATCCGCCCTATAACCTTCACGAGCAGGACCCGAAAGAGCCAGAGTTTCGTGGGAGAGAGCTTCGGATGAATACGGTGAAGGAATGGTAGTAGGATTTGTATCAGTTTGGCGGAAGTAGCCCCCCTCGATATGGGACTCCAAGGATAGAGCCTGGATGAGGGACTTTGATCGAGGATTCTCAGGTTCGGATGAAGAGGTGAATGAAGGTTTGATGGTGCCCAAGTCAGGCTCGCTGTTGACGAATTCGCCCATCTTGTGTTTGGTATCAAACAAGGCAGGCAATCGTATTGAGAATATGATGGAGGATGAGAATTGCTTTTGGGTTGGCAGCAGTTGAAAGATAGAAAGCTCCATTTATACCCCTGAATAGAGAGTGAGCAAGAGACTGATAGCGTAACGACAGAGCTTACGCACTCGACTATAAGACGTTGAATGTGTGGTTCGCTGCCGTTGCATCCACACCAATATGACGGGATGTTTGATAAGAGTGCCTGTAAAACGAGACCCTCTTGGTGTGATGCAGGATTCAAAACTACTCAAAGAAGCTAGTATCATGTTAGCAAACGAGGATGGTGTAAGCCAGAGTCTGACCTCCACGGAACGATTACGAGCCCAAATTAGGATAAAGAGGCGCAAAATTGGTGTTTGGAATTTGGCAGGGAGTTTATACTGAGGTTAGGTTGCTGAGATGATGTCAGGGTTGCCCTGAAATGAGCTACCTGTGGTGAAGATGCTCCATCGCGTGTTGGTCAGGCCAAGCCCGTAGTTTCCGGGTCATATGCCTACAACAACAAGCCGTTGATTGTATATGACAAAAGCTTCTGTGTGATAGTAAAGCTTGAATCTGGTAGTCAGCTGTTGGGTTTGTGATGGGGAAGCAAATTTGTTAGTGTAGTTCGTGATACTATTCGGAAATCCTAAGCAACAGACACACCAACCACTAGATACGGATAAGACTTGGTGCGAATGAACAAAGGTGTGTCAGTGGTTAAGTTCTAGGTACCTGTAATTATCAGACTGATTCGTTATTCATTGGCAACAATTACAGAGCTATACGCTCGTGTATTCATGAGTGGATGATGAGCCCAAGGGTCCCTAGAACGGAAAGACTATTGTGGCGGCCTGCAACAGCTGTCACTAAAAAAGAACATAAAGACAGTCTTCCATCTCATGGAAGGAAGTACTTTGGCTTCTATTTTCTTATTCATCTACGAGAAACTATGAAGTCTGATGATGAAAATGAAGCAAATATTTTCGTTGCATTTTTCCTTCTTAAAAGCGTTGGTGTAGTACATGCTCTCGGGTTATTGACCTACGAAGTGCCTCAGCGCTTTTAGCCGGGGCCTGGGAGCAAGACCTTAAGCTGCCAAAATAAAGTAGTCTAAAGACCCACTATACTTACCTAGGTAAGTATCGTTTACCGCTTAGGATAGGTCCCCGATGGCGGGAAAGCTCCAGACTGGCCATGACGCAAACCATGGAGCTTCTTCTAACGTGCTAAACACCAATAACTATCACGAGACAAGGCAACACACAAGCAAGCACACAATCGCCAGCTCCGCGGCCCGCTTGTTTCGTGACAATTTGCTCGATCTGCCACTACTTCTAATTAAGACCAAAATAACGGCACGACAACTGACCGAATCACGCCGGCCGCCGAATCCGACAATGACTGCCCCTCGTTTACTCCAAAACTCGTCACTGAGCATAAACCGTCCTACCATTTTCCTTATTCATCGCACCGCCATATCCTCTATCTCTCGTCGTAGGACCTTCTCGCAATGCCATTATCGCCCCCAACAACATTCCGAACGAGAACTACAAGAGCGCCTACAAGCTGCGCGACCCCTCGTCCCACATCGCGCGGCGCGCAAGTTCACACAGGCGGGCAGTAGTCGTAATTCGCGTCTCACCGTGATAGCAACTGTTCTCGCCGCCATTGGCTTCTACTTCTACAACTCCCAAACCGTGCCGGTCACGGGCCGTCGAAGATTCAATTTCCTCTCTGATTCTATGGTTGCACGCGCGCATTCGAAAGCAGCTGCACAGGTTATTGAGCAGGTCAGAGCGCAAGGTGGTCATTTTCTATCAGAATGGGATCCAAGGACTATCTTGGTCAGGAGGGTAATGAAGAGATTAATCCCCGTGAGCGGCATGACGGACCTCAATTGGGAGATATTCGTGATAGCTGATAATAGTATGTTTTGGCGATCAGGTGCAGCGAATGTCGGTTTGCTGACCTTTGGCCATAGGAACAGCAAACGCCTTTGTCCTTCCTGGGGGTAAAGTGTTTGTGCATAGTGGTATTATCAACGTCTGCCGCAGTGAAGATGCCCTCGCAGCAGTACTAGGGCACGAGATTGCGCATAATACAGCCTCTCACGCAGCAGAGCGCCTCTCTGCTGCATGGGTAGGAAATCTTACAGCCGGAAGTCTGTTCTTCCTCGCTGGAGCTCTACCTGGTCTTGCGCTCTTTGGACTCTGGAATGTCGTGGGAGGATATTACCTACAAGATCTGCTCTTCTACCTTCCCATGGGTCGAAAGCAGGAAAGCGAGGCAGACTACATCGGCCTAATGATGATGGCCGAAGCATGCTATGACCCCCGCGCAGCTTTGGGCTTCTGGCAGCGAATGCACGCGCTTCAGCATGCCAGTGGAGAAGAAGCCCCAGAGATGCTGAGCACTCACCCATCCGTAAGTCTAGCACATATTGCTGAGAAATTCGGGCAAACTGACGAGACGTAGAACGAGAATCGGATTGTAAAGATTAGTGAATGGCTGCCAAAGGCTCTTGAGAAGCGAGCGGAGAGTGATTGCCGTGGAACAGCAGCGTTTGCGGACCGATTCCGTGACGCGATCCGAAGAAGAGCTACTACAGTTGTCGTATAATAAGCTGACCAGCATTTATGAGCCAACGAGTAAAGGGTACATAGAGCGTCAAGATCACATCAGAGTACAGAGAAGACGGCGTACTGCAAAGGACTTTGAATTTTGGTTTAGAAAGCATTTTCTCAGTTTCTGCACATAATCTGGAAATATACATCAACAATCTGTTACAGTAGATAGCTCATTCCTTGAAACTTGGACTCCAATAGGGTCGGTCATATTGGGTACCAGGTTCCGACCAACTGGGGCTTCAAATCGAGTGCTTCCTTGTGAAAGTTGACAATTGCCTCCATGTGATAGGTGCAGACCCCCCGGCTTGGTAGCTTTCCTAGCGCACTTCCCCAGCTCCCCCGGTCGGTCCCCAGGCTTCTGCAATGGGTGAAAGTGCTGCTCGTGACCGTGAACCGAGGCAAGCCCCCACCTGCCGACGGCGCCCCGGAAAGAACTCCTTGTTTCTTCCAAGCTCATCAACTTAATCTATTCATTTACGCTTTCATCCACAGCTCAATTCTTTCGTCAACTTCTCATTTCCCTCGTAACTCGACTTTTATACCTACCTACCAAAATGTCCGAGACATATACTACCGCTGAGGTTGGAAAGCACAAGGATGAGGCCAATGGTTTCTGGCTCATCGTTGAGAATGACGTTTACGACGTGACCAGTGCGGCGACCGAACCCAAACTCGCAGAACAAAGCTGACAAACACCCACAGAGTTCATCGATGAACACCCTGGTGGTGCTAAGATCCTGAAGCGCTGGTCTGGAAAGAACGCTACCAAGGCCTTCTGGAAGTACCACAACGAGCATGTCCTGGAAAAGTATGGCAAGGACCTCAAGATTGGCGCTGTTGGCGAGAGCGCCAAGCTATAGAGAGATACCCAACTCTGGGACTCAAAGGCGGTAGCGTGCACTTTTTTCTGATTTGATTTAATTTGATTTTGGCATGGCGCATACCACATGTTGGATTAAGCTACACAATATAGGCGGATTTGTATCGAGTTCAAAGATCTCAGTCTAGAAGCAAGTGGTGGATGGTTCAGCATACCAGAACATATCAGGCCATGGAGTAAAGAAATATTCACATGGACCGAGAACTTGAATCCATTGCGTGCTGTTATATAAGTCTCTCTGAGTCCGGAAACATTTGTATCGGACTAATCCACCTTCCGAAGGGAGCATCGGATAAGTTGGCCGACATAACTACAGAAGTCAACACCATGACAATCATCGTCTATCGTCGAAGGATCGTGCCGCAAGCTGCGGCTTAAGCGGCGAAGACAAGTGGGGAGGCTTACATGAACGGTGTTGAGATAGCGGTAAATTTAGTGACTCATGTTCTTCAAACCTGAAATTAAACAACTTCTCAAGAGGCATTTATAACATTATCATCAGTTTGAACTACCTTCTTGGCAAGAATGAGCGACTTATTCAATCTCGACGTCCAGCGGAACCGTTTATCCCGCCGTCACGGCCCCGAGCCTGGCTCCGCTCCGGCACCTACTCTCCCCGAGTTATCTGCCATTCAGACCGCTGAGGCCAAGCTCCCTCGGCCTGGTTCGGAGGACTACCTCCGAGGTGTCTCACAGGAAGATGTTGTACGACACATCATACGGGACATTATTCCCGCGTGTAACGGCCAGGGCAGTTCGTCCCGTTACTACGGTTTTGTCACTGGTGGTACTCTCCCTATTGCTGAGTGGGCAGACAACGTAGTCTCCCGCCTGGATCAGAATGTCCAGGTCCATCTGCCAGCGCAGACAATTGCAACTACATTGGAGGATGCAGCATTGGAGATGCTCGTTTCGCTACTGAGACTTGGAGATTGGAGAGGTCGCACCTTTACAACTGGGGCTACGGGCAGCAACGTTCTTGGACTTGCATGTGGACGCGAAGCCATCTTGGAGGAGCGCGGGCAGAGTATTGGTGAGGTCGGCTTGCTTGCGGCCTGTCTTTCTGCTGGTATCAGGGAGCTCCAGATCCTCACAAGTGCAGGCCACAGCTCCTTGTCTAAGGCAGCGAGTGTCGTTGGCTTCGGACGAGGAGCTGTGAAGGAGCTGAGACTCAGCGACAGTGAGCCATGGAGATTGGACCTTGAGGCTTTGGAAAGAGAACTTCAGAAGAAAGATACCGCAAGTGTTATTGCATTAAGTGCTGGAGAGGTTAACACCGGGCGATATGCTTTAACGGGGCTTGAAGAGATGCGTAAAGTAAGGGAGTTGGCGGACAGGTATGGAGCTTGGATTCATGTCGATGGAGGTAAGATCCAACCCTTTTGCAGGATGCAGTTCATGCTAACATTTCAGCCTTCGGTATCTTTGCTCGCGCTCTTCCCGAAGAGGACGATTATAAAATTCTTCGTAATCGTGTTGAAGGCATCGAGTTGGCAGACAGTATCACTGTTGACGGGCACAAGCTTCTCAATGTCGTGAGTGTTCCATATCCTTTCGGCTTGGCTCTTACTGGCCTTGAATCGCTAACTTGATATAGCCCTATGACTGTGGCATGTTCCTCACACGATCACCTGCTATCCTTCAGTCTGTCTTCACCAATCCCAATGCTGCATACCTGTCCACGGGAGGGGCGTCCACTATCCCCTCGCCGCTGAATGTTGGCCTTGAGAACTCACGCCGTTTTCGTGCCCTTCCTGCGTATGCCGTTCTCCTCAGTGAAGGCCGACCAGGTATGGCGAATTTGCTGGCCAATATGACTGCTTTATCCCGCCAAGTCGCTGCGTTCTTGAGGGGCTCAGAGCACTACGAGCTACTCCCCGACGATGGTGCTAACTTCAACGAGATCTTCATGATTGTTCTTTTCCGTGCTAAAAATTCCAGTTTGAATGATGAGCTGGTTCAGAAGATCAACGCAACCAGGCAGATGTATGTGAGTGGTACAAGCTGGAAGGGAGAAAAGGCTGTGCGAATGGCTGTGTCCAACTGGATGGTGGATGTGGCCAGAGATTTCAGGGTGGTGACTTCTATCTTGAATCATGTGGCCGAGGGAAAGGTGTTCGACATTAACAACTGCTGAGGTCTAGGTAGAAAGGTCGTTTGTGGATTACAGGGGTTTGATCAGTTGAGGCTGGGTTTTGAAATGAATAGACAGCCATAAGTTGACTGTACCATTCGGACTGGTGATCCCACAGTCGCCAAGGAAGGCAAAGCATTGTAATATGCATGGCCTACAAGATACACATGGCCACCAGCAGGTTCAAGGAGAGTTATTAAGGGGTTCGGGTTGTGTGAAAAAAGAAGTCGTCAAGTCTGTGTATTGAAATTATCACGCACGTATTGATGCGTTGATGGTGAAGAGTTCAGGTCGGAGCGGAGGAGTGGGGTGTGGATAAACATGAGCACACTGATACTCCTGCTGGCTCAGCTGTAAGTTATTATAAACTCATCTTTATTATAATAGAAAATGTATACGAAATAAGGAGTGTCAAAAAATTGCATTCGAAGCTACAGGTGTTGTCCATTAGACCCACCTAACCACTGACTTTGAATCTCTGAACCGTAGCCCTTCGACGTACTTGCTCCCCGGCCCTTCTTGCTCTTCTGTAGCATATTCTGCATTTGGCCTGATCTCTCTAGCCATAGAATCCTGCATTGGTTCGGGGATAATCATATTTGTAACAAATGTCTCGATTACCTTAGGCTAGTTATTATATAGAAATAGACTTATTACTTTATGTAATTTCTTCTGGGGGCTTATTATGCCTACGCTTCTGTCGATATTAGAAGCAAGATAGGCATCTTCGGTTAGTAGCTCGCCCATATATAAGGTTCGTGTAGATGCGGTCAACGCTGCACAGGGCACAAGTGTCGCCGTGTTCATCAACCCATGCGGCATCATCGTCTTCTGTCGGCCGTGGTTGCGTACACGGCCTGTGATCCCGATGTATGCTCTGTATGCTACACTTGACCCAACGTAGAGTCCGCGAATATCTCCGAGACTGTCAGTGACAATGTTGAGATATACACCCCAAAGACGAAAATGATCATCTACTCGACAGCTGGTTGAAGGTCTCTGCAGCCTAGTAACGACATGGCTTCGGGTGCAATCGATCCGGAAAGGAGTTTTGTCATGTCTGACATTTCGAGGCGTTCAAATAACTTCCAGAATACGGCAGAAAGGGCACGCTCTTTGAAGTCTTTTACTCAAAGATCAGTAAGCTCTTATTTCATAGCGTATCTCTGGGCTCTCTCCAGCATAGATGTGACTGTCGACTTGAAGAGTTGTTGATCGGCTTCAACGACAGGCAGCGAAACGTCTGGCATAAGGTAAGGGGTGATGTCTTTGGGTGGGTCTTGTGTGATTGCTAGGAGCCGGGTTACCAAGTACTTTGTGACACCATCAGTGACTTCGTCTTCTGGGTCGTCATCGTCCACAAGCTCTTCGGTATCTTGTATACCTTCTGTAAGATCGATCACTTCGTATACATCAATCAAGTCATCGCCTTCCCCATCAGAGTCAGAATCGGAGGGATGATTGTGTGCTTCGGGAGGAACCCAAGCTCCGTCTTTATATTCTAAAAACAGGGGGGATATATTGCTTGGCTGCCCTTTGCTGAGGAGTAAATATATTTGGTAAATAACATTGCTGCTGGCTTGAGTCTATAGCAAAAATAGAGAAAGGCAGCAGGATTCGAACTCGCGAGCAAAAACAAAGAGTGGCCGAGGGAGGAAGGGTTTTTAGGAGCGGTCTTTAGGTTCATAGGTTCATAGGTAGATACCACTCGACCACTCTTCGTGGAAGGGTAGAAGGTGACTTTGGTATATGTCCTTTCCCCTAGGCATGCCCTTGTAGCAGCAGCAAAGAAGTAACGGTGACTGGTTCCGTAATCCAACCCTCCAAAAACAAAGAGCAGTTGGGCGGGTAGGAATTTTAGGATTCCGAATTGTAAAACGCTCGAAAAGTCTTGGGAGGTATCCCATCGTAAAACGCCTTTAAGTGAGGTAGATCGTGTATTTCATCGTACCTGTCTGTAGAGGCTGTCGTTGATGCGCAGTTGTGAGGGAAACCCAGTCACTCGTTTAGACATAAAAAAGTTCGATCATCGTCTGCCTTCTGTATCATCATATAATCCTTAGCCAAATTTCTTCGAGCCGCCCTTTTGAGTCGTCTTTTTATCCGTCTTCTTCTTTCCCTGTCCAAGCAATTCCAGATGTCCTGCGCGCTCACCGAGGAGCGCTTCTGTGCGTGCCGTCATGCCGCTTGTGAATTTCTTGTGCACCTTGTCGATGCTCGCTTTTGTCTTCTTGGGTTTATGCACTTTCGATGCTTGGCGCTTGGAGTGTGTGATCTTGGCCGGGGTTGCTCGTCCGAGCTTTTTGACTGTTCCTTGAGCCATTTTGAGGGACGTTGAGATAAAATCTGGTGGTTGCGCAGGAAGTTGTGAGCGAGAGAGTCGAACACTGTTGGGTCCGGTGGGGAAAAATAAAAATCAAGGTGAGCGATTTTAGTGGGGCGGAATGCTCACCTCGGTGAGTATTCGGTCTGGAGCCAGGATATCGATTGGCCTTCATGATAAAAATAGGGGTTAAATATACTTTCCAATCTTAAACGCTTATGGCTAGTATCATGAGTATTATCAGATGATGGTGTCTATATGTGTCCAACTAAAATATTATGAATAGCTTCAATCAACAATCGACATACTAGTGTATGCTCGAGAATGGTATCCTGATGTTCCCCAACTAAGAAGGCGGTTATGGCAAAGTGATATTTCATGAAACGTGCCGGCTCCTCAAAACTTCCTGACTTTCGAGTCTATTGTTACCAGCCATCGCCCCAACCATCATCGTCATCTGTCTCCTTCGGCTTCATATCAATCTTTTTTGCAGCAATTGGTTTCGTGGCCGATTTAGCCGCAGGCTTCTTAGCCGCACTTGATTTTGATAAACCCTTTGGCAAGGCCTTGGTGGGCTTTTTCTGTGATTGAGCAGCCAGCCATCCAGCAAAGTCAGGCTCGCCATCATCAAAAGTGGCAGCAGATGCAGTCGTTGTCGCAGGCTGTTTGGACGATTGGCCGGGAGAGTCGAAACTGTCGAAGTCATCGTTCATATCTCCCCACGAGTCTCCAGCATCGTCACCATCGTCGGCAGGTAAGAATGATTCGGCTACTACACTTGCGGTATGTGAAGAGTTTCGTGAGAGGGTTGCTGGGGGAGATTTGACTGCTTGGCGGTGAAGTGATGAGGCGGTGCTCGTTGCCGGCTTCTTTGGCTCGGAGTTAGGTGAGGGCGTGGGCCCAGGTGAAGCCGCACGGGAGTCTGACTCCGCGTGAATTTCGCCTGCGGCCGCAGAGATTTTGTTTGTGAAGGAAGAGATTGCCCAGCCTGCCCAGCCACCTGCGGTGTTTTCGTTTGGCTGTGGGGTGCTCATCCGTGGAGCTGAGCCATCATTAGTCTGAGGAGGAGGCAAAACGCTTTCAGGCATGGCAGAAGCTGCCTTCTTGATCTTTTGGAGATATATATCCATTGTACGAGTAGCAGAGTCGCGAACAATCTTCTCCTTATCAATCAGGACAGGAGAGATAACGGGCAGGATCCTGCATGCGCTATCCTCATCAGTGAAGTACTCCGCAGTGGCACCTAAGGCCATTAAGGAAGCATTTCGGGCATGAACAAATGGATCTCTGAGTGACCTTGTGAAGGCGGCAATAAGAACCTTTGAACGGGACGAAGTACCTAGGTGCTTTGCAATCTTCCCCAAGCAGATAGTCGTGTTTGTTCGAATGCCCGGTTGCTCGTCGTTTGCGGTTCTTGCAAGTTGTTTGAGGAGGTCACCGTTGATTGTGCGGTCCGAGAGCTTAGTGATGATGACCAGAACAGACTTGAGCGTCTGTTCTCGTACTACCGGTGTAACATCAGTGAAGCCAGTGATCTGGATACGTTAGTTTTGCATTGAAGTATAGTAATATAGACTGTACCAATTGTGGAAAGATCTTGTCGTTGACGATCTTCTGTGATAGCTGATCAATCATCAAAGGAAGGCTATCCAATAAGCACACCCGGATAGCACGATCAGGATTTCCAAACAGGCGAATGATGAAGGGTGTAATCTTTGAATCGAAGTCGTCCTTGGGAAGTTTAGATGCGATTTTGAGAACTACGGACACAGCCCTAGGGCCACCGCCACCGAATTCAGCGGACTTCATCAGCTCCGGCATAACCTTTAGCTTGAAGAACTCTTCTGGGAAGTCATCGCTCAGTTCATCCAGTCCACTGTTCAAATTGTTAGCAATTTGGATTATATGAAAGGAGTTGAAGACGGACGTAAGGAACTCTTCTCGTTCATCTGGCGTTTTGATGTCCAGGTTATCGATACCCTCGGTCAGCTTGATGAGAGAACTGTCAAAGAAAGAGCCATTTCGGTTGCCTTGATCAAGGAATGCTCCCACACTGATTCGAGCCTTTGGGTTGGCGTTACACAGACGCTTATAACTGGACTGCATTGAAGGGGGAATGCTCTTCGTTTGGCCAGCCTGATCAGCTCCATTGTAATCGCCGTTGAAAACTTCAAAGATCAATGTTCCAAGATTAAATGCGTCTACTGCTGTATGGGGATTCTTCTTGATAACATCCCATCCGCCGCGTGCCAACTCTGGAGGAGAGTATCGACCCGCATCAGGTACCAAGCTACCGTATGTCTATGCATATGTTAGCCTGAGTAGACGGGTACCTATCAGGGGACCTCTTGCATATATTATTGACTCATCGTCCTTGAGGCTGCTAAGAACATCAAAGCCACCGAGCTTCCACTCGCCACTCTCTGAAGTATATATCGATCCAACTTTGATGCTGCCGTGGATCGAGGAAGCGTCTTCGTTGATGAATTTTATGGTGCGCTGTAACATTATTAATATCGATTAAAAGACTAGCATGGCAAGCCGTACCGCAACGCTATGCAAGCCCCATTTTATCGTCTCAGGGCTGAGACTCTTTCTTCGAACGTCCCATCGTAGGGGTACTACTCGTTCGGTCGCAATGTAGATATACGTCTCTGTCTGTCAGATGTTATTAGTGGAATGCTCTGAAACCGACCGGAAGTCTTGCATATACCTCGACCGCATCTAGAAGTTTGATCACGCCTGGGTGCCGTAGTGTTCGGAGCTTCTTTAGGGCATTCTTGGCTAGGGGGAGTTGGGATCGGTTGGTGGTGATATCGAAGGAAAAGATGCTGCAGTTTGAACCATCTTCCTATTCAGAGATTGTCAGCAAGTCCACATTGTGCGCTCTGCGATGTTGAGCTTACCCTCTTGGTACCATTGTACAGTGTCCAGATAGACTCATCGATATCAACCTTGTCGCCAAAGTTGTATGGAAAGGGAGGGCCTTGTGCAATGGCCGAGGCCACGGCAGATTTGAGAAAGTTCATTCCAGTGTCGCAAAGTCTAGAACTTCTATTAGGACTTGAGCAGTTAACTCCCTACTTGTTGAGAATCGGCATATGTACAGGTTGAAAATATTGCTGTTTGTAGACGAATAATATATTGGTTCCAGAGTCGCAACGTGGTTATTGGCGTTGTACGTCAGGGAGCTCAAGACCCCCGCGCTAGTGCCTGATAAATTTAACAGGGGATGGAGGGGTGTCCAATGGTTACCTAATCCATCTGACCATGTAAGAGCCCAGAACGTACGGAGCACCAGCAACATACTAAAGTTTGGGGTTCGGATAGGTCATGATGTATAGATAGACAACTCAGTGAAATCTATGATCAAGGTATGTTTAATCATGTCGCCACTAACTAGACAGTAGAGGGAATTAGCTCAGGTGATCCAGACTTAAAAAGACTTAGATATGAATACAGATCAGGTACATATTTGGGGGGAACATTTCTCTGTATCTAAACCGAAAGTGAGTGGTTTTATCAGAAATCTGAAGGAACATCAGTTCAGATAAAGAAACACTGTACTTAGGTAGAATAAATGAATTTTGAGGCGTCTTGTTTGCGTCACAAAGAATGTGGCTGGTATATTTGGTCTGGACTTGGGGGATCTTTTATCTTTATAGTGCATTTATGCTCACCAACTGCAGAGTGGTGGCCTTGGATAAATCCTAGCCTTCACTAAGCTTCTATAAATATAAGCATGGGCCAATTTATCTATCATCTATCTCTTGAGTCAACAGGCAGAATTTCCCTTTCGACACTCTCATGTGTGTAAGTTGACTTGTGGGGCTCCACTGGTAGGCATGGTAGCCGGGGCGGAAGAATTAGTCTTCCAGCTGGGGGCGACTCACCTCGGGAACCTCCCCACCAGGGAGGTCTTCCCGGCGCCTCTGCACCCCCATCCTTCATCATCATCAATGTTTGGGCCAATAGCGAGCCAGTAGCAACAGGACCAGCCCGCAATGAAAGGCGCGAAACGAACAACCACAGTCATACGCCTCTCTGCCTCTGGCGGCTGGGGATCCCTTTCATTCTTTCCCAAATCCTATTCCTATTCTCTGTCCTTTACCTGATGTCGGCTCGTCAACCCATACATAAGATCAACAGAACGCACATATTCCTACGCTTTCAACACGGGGCAGCCGTGGGGACCTGTCTCGGACGCGACCTAGCTCCCTTTGCTTCTTTCTATCGCAGTATAACACTGTCCTTTCGCCTCCACCTGATACAAATTATCGACTACACAGTATTTTCGATTAGCACAACAAGCACCGCGTACGAATAGGGGAGCAGAACTTTTTTCTGGGTGATCTCAGACCTCGGTACGGTATTTTGATTTTGATTTCTTTGTCTTACTCTTTATGCTCGTCAAATGATGCCTATGGTAAAAGGTCTGACTGAACGGAACCCTTCTGGTTGCGCCATCTTCTCTTCGGACTCTATTCATGACATTGTGTTGAATTAACCCTGTCGTTCCACACCGCGCCTCAGCTGTAACTGCTCTCCTACATTCCAAGCTTGTTCGTAGAGCGCTGGGGCCGATTGCAATGGAGTTTCTAATGTCGCACAATGGAGTCTTCTTCCTCGTCTACGCCACGGATCTTGACCAAAGGCCGCGACAAACAGCAGATTCATTGAATTAACACACGTGTCAAAAGAGATTATGTGACAACCGATGAGGTGCCTAGCTTGACGGCCATTCAAAACTGAAAAGATCTGATTCGACTTCTTATCTAACACTTGCTTAGCATTCCGTTACAACTTCAAACGCATATCGCTAACATGACTTCTAGGTAATCCTTCATCTACGCGCCTCATGACTCAATCCAGTCGTAAAAGCCTGCGCGTGGTGGATCAGTTCTGCGTTTTGGCCCCATCAACGAGGTTCTGAATGACTGCCTCCACACATGTCGGCGGCACTTGTGCCGTTCTCACTTGTGAAAAGATCATTTTGCTTAGTTCCAGACATTACTGTGATGAGCACTCAGCATTAGAGCCCACCGCGGCCAGCAGAGATCCCTCTGCTACGAATATGGCCAAGGGCTTCCGACCTTCTAATAGGAGTTTTGTTGCTAAAAGAGGTCGAGGCAAATTCATGTTTACACCTTCGCGGCACTTTTCTAGGCAAGATCCACCATCTCAAGATGCCTCTAGTCCGGATACCAGCGCTCCCGTGACACAGTCTCCGAAAGCAAATGAGCAAGAGGCCCCTCCTTCGTCTTTGGTACGAGACAATTCCATTGATACAAATGACAGAAGCCTCCATCTGCGGCTAGAGAGGAACGGAACCAGCCACGTTGGATCAACACCCAACTCCGCGCAGATCAAGGCAGCCCAAGATGTAGCGAAAGTTGACAAGGGCTCTTCTGCTAGCCAGGTAAATTCACATACTGTGTCGAACCCGAAGACGCGATTGGAAATGGAGTTGCAAGCCGAGACAGAGGAGGTGATAAACCAGCCACTTGGCCTCGATTTTGCCACCAAAAAACTGAGTTCTTGTTCAAATATTGGATCGGAAACGCTTCCCACAGAGGATCTCAAGATGGATGCGCATCAAAATGGGCAATCTGTCCATGCAACTGACGGCCAACACTTGGCTGGGACGGCGCAAGCGGCTTCTGAGGGGGCTCCTTCAAACGAAGGGTTTAAGAAGACCGAGCCTTCCCTAGGCCTTGACTCTCAACCGCGCGTTCCTTCCACCGCTCCTGTGAATCGTATGCAGTTTACCTCTGAAGATGGTGTCAAATTTAAGTCTTCTCCTCGGACATCCAAGCCAAAGAAGGACAATACACAGAAACATTTGGAGCATCATTATCCAGAAACACGAACGAGTTCGAAGGCGAAGCTCTTATCAACTCCCACTAAGCGCTCGGCTCCCCTGACAAGTAAAGGGCTCCCAGTCAGGAAACAGCAGTTTCAAGGTTCCCTGCCTGAAGTAAGCGCCGGAATCGATGATGAGGTGAATATGGCCGATGTTAGTGACATTGACGGGGAAGCAAAGCCGGCCAAACCCGTCCCGCTCTCCTTCCGTGCCAAAGCAGAAGCTCGCAAAAAGAGGCTTTTGGTCGAGTTCGATTCCGAGGCATTCGATTCGCTCATTTATCGACAGTCAAGTCTGCAACCACCCCCTTATGTTACTGTATCTTCACGTATTGTCAAGTACAGCCCAGTTTTCGGCGACCAAAAGCCACTCTATCTTCCAGTGAATCCAGCAATCCATCACATGCACAAGCGATCCCGTTCTTGGTATAGAAAGAAATGCGACGAAATCAGACGGCGTCCAAAGCGCAAGGAATGGTTTGGCAAGGTCGTGGAGAGACAACGCTGGTTGCAGGCTCTGGAGATGAAGCAGCAGGAGAAAATCAAACAAGCCCAGCAGGATGGGACTACTCCCCCTTACAGACCACCAAAGCCGCGGGGTGTCAAGCGTATTCTTGACTTTGGTGACCTGCCCGAGGAGGAACTGCCTGAATATGTGCGGAGTAATCCCGCTTGGTTGAAAGCCTGCGCTTGGTTCAGAGAATGCGAGGATAAAGCAACTGCACGCCAGCGACATGTCAACAACAAGACGAAAGAGACAGAGAGTTACTTTCAGAGCTTGAACGCTTGATGAATTCACACGATATATGATGACGGGGCATTGCAAAGGAGTCAAGGAGGCTGTCTTATTGGGTTTTGACTCGGCGCATCTTAGGCAAACGGCCATCTTCATTCTTGTCATTGAGGGGCAAAGGATTCCAACAATCTAAATGTAAATATGCCACAGGGAGTCAAGGAATTCGAATTCGGAGTCACACGGTTAGAAAGTTTCCCTTTCTCTAAGAAGCAATACAGGTATCTTACCAATTGATGAAAACAATAGACGCATATATGCATGTAGGTTCATTTGTAAATCGTGGAAGTGGCTAGAGAACAAAAACATTCGGTATTGCTGGTATAAACAATCTATCACTCGGCATTTTCACCCAACCAAAAACGCCCTTTTTCTCCAGTCCAATACATAACTCAGGCATTTTTAGGCATCGCCAGAGGAATCCATCCTGTGGCCCGAAAGATATATCTACTAATGCTCAGAAAGAGAGCGGCTCGTCTTATATGCCCTTAGACAGCAGGTTGAGAGCACTGCCAGCAAGAATGAAACCAGCCTGGTCCTTGGTAACGGCGTGTTTAGTGGGAATGAGGATCTCCTCACCGGAGGCTTTAGTGACACGAAGTTGAACATCGCCCTTGCCACCATTCTGGAGCATCTCGTACAGACCGACAGTGGCAACCTCGTCGCCAGCGGCAATCTTATCATAGTCAGCCTCGTTCTCAAAAGTTAGAGGTACAACGCCCTGCTTCTTGAGGTTGGTCTCGTGAATACGGGCGAACGATTTTGTCAGGACAACACGGGCACCAAGGTAGCGAGGCTGCAGGGCAGCGTGTTCACGAGCTGAGCCCTCACCATAGTTGTGCTCAGCAACGACAAGCCACTCTTGACCACGTTCCTTCCAGAGTTGACCAAGCTCGGGGATAGTGTGCTTGGAGCCGTCGAGGTCGTAGGCAGCGTTGACCTCACCGGTCTCCTTGTTGATGGCAGTGTTGAGGGTGTTGGTGCTGATGTTAGGCAGATGACCCTTGTACTTGAGCCAGGGGCCGGCTGCGGAGATGGTATCGGTGGTACATTTGCCTGTGACCTTGACAAGGACGCGAAGGCCTGAGAGATCAGACGAGGGGAAAGGAGCAAAGGGCTCAAGGAATGCCAAACGCTCAGAAGTGGGAGAGATGGCGATCTTGGTGTTAGGGTCAGGGGCCTGGGATAACACACCAAGCTCGGCGTTGCCAGACTCAAAAGGAGTCTGAGGACCTTCGAGACCGTGAGGAGGAGAGAACATGAAGTCCTTGCCATCAGGTGTCTTAATGCTATCGGTAACAGGGTTGAAGGTAGTGGATCCGGCAAAGGCCATGGCGGTAACGATCTCGGGAGAGGCCAGAAAGTTCATGGTATCAGGATTGCCATCATTTCGACCACGGAAGTTTCGGTTATACGAGGTCAGGATCGCATTGCTTGTGCCCTTCTCAACGCCATCTTGTCGCTTCCACTGACCAATACAGGGACCACAGGCATTTGAGAGAACAATTCCGCCGGCCTCCTGGAATGTCTGGAGGGTACCGTCGCGCTCAAGCGTGGCGCGAATCTGCTCACTCCCGGGAGTGATGTAGAAGTCGGCAGCAGGCTTAAGCCCAGCCTTCTTGGCATCCTTAAGCAAGCTCTCGACTCGGGTCATATCCTCGTAGGAACTGTTGGTGCAGCTACCAATGAGACCAGCGGAAAGAACCTGGGGCCAGTCCTGTTCCTTCACAACTTCCTTGAACTTGGAGAGTGGTGTGGCCAGATCTGGTGTAAAAGGACCATTAATGTGAGGTTCGAGGGTCGAAAGATCGATGGTGATGAGTTCGTCATATTCAGCGCCCTCATCAGCCTTGAATTGCCATCGAGCATCGGGGTCGGAGCTGTTGCTGGCGAAGGCCTCGAGAGCTTCAATGTTCTTGTTCGCCTGAGATCGCCGGGTCGAGTCAAGGTATCTAGCTGAAGCCTTGGTGTAAGGAAAGATCGAGGTAGTGGCACCGACTTCAGCGCTAGATTAAGTCAGTATTTTCCAGATCCCCGATTTATAGTACAAACTTACCCCATATTGCAGATAGTAGCCATGCCGGTGGCGCTTAGGCTTTCGACACCTTCGCCGAAATACTCAATGATGGAGCCAGTGCCACCACGGACTGTGAGGTGGCCAGCAAGACGGAGAATGACGTCTTTGGGAGAAGCCCAGTTGCTCAGCTTGCCGACAAGTTGCACGCCCAAAATCTTGGGGGCCTTAAGTTCCCAAGGAGCACCGACAAGGGCCTCAACAGCATCCGCACCACCAACGCCAATGGTAATTGTAGAAAGACCACCAGCATTGGGGCTGTGGGAGTCGGTACCAAGCATCATCAATCCAGGAAGAGCATAATTCTCAAGAACGGTCTGGTGGATAATACCAGCACCAGGAGGCCAAAAGTCCATTCCGTACTTGCGCGCTGCAGACTCAAGGAAATCAAAAACCTCCTTGTTAGTCTGGATACCAGCAGACAAATCATCCTCAGCACCCTTGGAGCCAACAATCAAGTGGTCACAATGAATGCTTGCAGGGATTGCAGGCTTAGCAAGGTTGCAGGACATGAACTGAAGAATAGCCATCTGAGCAGAAGCATCCTGCATGTTGACACGGTCGGGCTTGAGGCGCAAATTGGCCTTCCCGCGAATGTTTCGTCCATTGTCGGTGTTGTTCAGCAAGGAGTCCTCGGGGTTGTCGAGATGGCTGTAGAGGATCTTCTCGGCGAGGGTCAGACGCTGCTTGCCGAGAACTCGACGGACATCTGTGTACTTGGTGTATAGCTTTTCGTAGGTAGGAGGAAGAGGCCTCGCGCTTGAGAAGTTTCTCCTTGTGTTATTGGATAGAACGGTGGTTGACCGAATGGCATTAGGACCGGAACGTCGCAAGAGTTGCTATTACCGCGTGTAAGAGTCAGCTTGTGTATCTGTGTTTTCCTGCAGAAAGGTTCCCAATTAATATGGAATGGTGTAGCTTACCGTCATGGCACCGCCTGAGCGGCTGGCGACCTCCATTGAAACCATGTTGGGCTATACACGGCAACGATGAACGATGACTCTTTTGGTCCTCTTGTTACAGATGTTATTCCCTAAATTTGTGGTGGGGGCGAAGTCGGGGCGGATTTTTTTGGTCAATTGTAAATTGACAGGAGCCGATTGGCGTTTACGACTGATGTCCGGGGATGTGGGGGCCTCCACCATCCGAACACCGGCGGAGATGAATCCCTTCCATATCATCTGTATAACCTCGGAATAGAACGGGTATGTATTCAAAAAGTCGGGGCTATAAATCGTTGTTTGGATATGATTCCCATTCTGAGAACATGGGGGCATATATTACATTTCGCTCATGTCTTGTATTACCAAAGGCGCCTTCCATTCGCCAGTCCGGACTCACATATCAAAGCATCAAAAATCATTCTTGTTCAAATACATGCCTTCTAGTAGGCAACGACACCATCTGCGTCTTCCAGCCATAGTGTCGCCAGGTCCTTTGCCAATCCTAATCGAAGTTTTCGAAGAACGTCTTCGCCCTTGCTTGTTGCAAGCCAACCCTTCCTCCAGTCCCATCCTCTGTTAACCTTTGTTCCTGCCGAGATCGACTTGTGCAGATGATTCACCAACACGGAGCTTCCGGTCATCATGAAGCTTCCTCCTAGAGAGGCTGTTGATTTGGCCATTAGATCTTGTGGCGTAGAGCCCTTCAGTCCCTGGGCAGATGCCAATACAAGATTGAAGAAATCGACGCACGCCGAATACACTCGATCCCCCACTGTTTGCAAGTCCTCGATGGCTTTGAGCAGAACATCAATCTGGGGGAGTGTGACGACGGCTGGGGATTGATTAATAAAGACAGTGGCCTCTCCCAGCAGGGCCAGGAGGAAGTCCTCGCTGACTACTGCATCCCGCGTTTCGTCGTAAAGTCCACCACGGATGTTGTCGTCGGAACTAGAAATAACAGCAACTAGTGCAGATGCCGCTTGCTTTTTCAATTTGAGAGCCTTTGTAGGCGAAATATTCTCCAAGTCCTCAGCATCGCGGAGCTCGTAAAACTTGCGTAGTGTGGCGTAACCGCTGAGCATTCGGCCAAGCAGTTGAGCAGCTTCGAGGTCCTGCTTGGCTCGTTTCTCAAGGGTCTCGGTTCGCTTTCGTAATAGATCCTTGAGATCCTGATCTAGATCCTTCTCTGAGGGGTAGACTGTGGACTGGACAAGCGAGTAAGACATTAGTAGATTCAGCACCTCCCGGACCTTGTCTGAGCGATGGGAGAGCGCATAGTACCAGAGAGCCTCGCCGTAGCGATGAGACTCCTTGGAAAGGATCTCTGCGAATGTCTGTTTCGGGTCAGTTTCGTTCAGTATTATACTCAAAATTACTAACCTCTGCTGTTTCCTCTGCGTAGTTAATCATGCCGAGGTCATTCAGTATTGTCCAAATTTTGTCCACGGTTCGTCCTGAGTTCTCATTTAACGTAGCAAGAAGATCTCGAAGGAGTTCGCCCACTGTCTCCTCTGACCTCTCAGGCGAATCCATTCGGCCTAACACCTGTATGGCCATTTCCCACCCATCGCGCTCTGGTGACAGTTGCTCTATACCTGCCAATTCCCTAGCGTACAGGACAAGAGTTGTGTCTTTGATACCATCCAGTTCATCCGGTCCTGGTTGAGTCACGCCTAGTAGCGCAAGATCGTCCATATCCAGACTGTCAGTAGGAAACAGGTTGGGGCCGTTAGGAGCGGGGAGCCATTCGCCTAGGGATGCGACTTCTGCCACAGTACATGCCAGTGGCAATGACCATATCCTCAGGAATCCCAGCACGGCGTTAACGTTTCCTTCGAAAGCGGAGGCCACGGCAACCTCGACGGGGTTCAAAACATTAGGGTTCAGATCTGACTGCACAACCATGTGAAAAGCAGTTGCCAGTCGATCGAAGTAGTCTTCGGAGCCAGCGAAGCGAGATGATGCCCGCAGTAACTGCGACTGTGAAAGTCTCAGAGCCTTGTGGCGTTGATTCCCATCATCCCACCACCCAAAAAGGCCTATTGTTGCTTCACACCAATCCTGGGCGACTTCCAGGATAGCCTCATGGTTACCAAGAATGATACCATACACGGTTTGCAAGTTTTCGTAGATATCCCAAGGGATTTGACTTGAGGCCTTCCGAGCCATTGTGGATAGTGATTGTTGTTGGGGGGCAAACTCGTCGTCCATCAAATCCTGAACATCCTGTTCCCTTCCTTCGGCGAACAGGGTCATTCGGTTCAGAGATCCGCGAGCCTGAATTCGAAAAAGAGTCCAGTTACTATTCCAGATATCCCATTCTGATCTTGTACCTGGGCACTGGTCCAGGACTTCGCTAGTGGCAGCGGCAAAACGTCTGACGTTCTCAAGAGCTTTGCCCGTGTACGCATAATCACTTCTAGGTCCTCGGCGAACATTCTGCCAACCAGCTTCTTTCAGTAGATGGGATGCGCTGCCAACATCTCCTCGTAGCAGGGAGCATCGTACAGTCTGCCAGAATAGAGGATGGCATGCAGGGCTTGGTATGTGGCGGCTGACCTCACGCACCTGATCAGGGTACAGGTTATGATTGTTATGCATCCAGTCGAACAGGATTTCGGGTAGCGGTGGTGTCTTCTCCTCGTCGGTATTAGTGCCGAAGCGAGTGTGGTGCATCCGAAGTATTAGTTGTGCGACATAGGCGGCCTTCTCGAATGGGTCACTGTTGAAACCAGGACCTATGGTTGCAAAATCCTCTCCTTCTGGTTGTGGCAGTCCATTCACGGTCTTGTTCCATAGTTCAGTAAGGCGAAACGTGATGTTAGACAAAGAATTGTCCATCTTCTCAACGTCTTCCTCAGGTCCAACTCCCTCTTCGTATAACCTACATACGAGCTCTTCGGTTTCGAGGATCATGTCTGCGGGTTCGACAACTGGTGCATGTTCGTGCTGACTGTAAAGATTTTTGGCGATCGATGCAAAATGGAAACCCTCCTGGCGCCCTGACATGCCAAGATGGGCTGATGTTTGTCTGAAAATGCTTTCCGCTTCTTGGCGCACTCGTTTTGTCGCGGCTGGTGTATTGAGCATCATGAGGTCGGATTCGTCACCAATCATAGGCTGGCCATAGGGTCGATCGTCGTGTCTCATGTTCAAGAACATATCGGGTTCTTCGGATTCTTCGCGCTCGAAAACATGGTCGTCTTCCCCATAGCTTTCTCTCTCGTCTTCTTCACCGGCAATGTCTTGGTCGATGTAGCGTTCGATCTCGGCGTCAACTTCGTCATCCTCGAGGCGTTCGTCTGGAGCAGCAGACATGCGAAAAAGATTACCTCGAGGGGGTGGGAGCTCCACATCTCCTTCGGCATCTTGATCTTCTTCTTGATCCTCCTCTTCCTCGTCCGCCGCGCTGAACTGGCGGCTCAATCCTGAAGGCTGTCGTCCTCTAATAGATCGACCAAGCGGGTTGCTCGAGGCGCCTGTGCGACCAAAAAGATTTCTTCCGGAGGATGAGTTGTTGGATACGCCAAAGCTCAGAGGCTTTGTATCAGTCATTCCACGCATGAAGGAGCTTCCCATGTACGAATCAGACGGGGCACCCGCGGGTGTAAAGGAAGCGGCTGATGATGGAGGTGGTCCAGCTGGAGTCGTTGAGGGATTATCGGCAAGAAACGAAAAACCTGTGCCGCGGCCGCTCTTGTCTGGCGTCGATGGCGCTGGGCTTACTGGAGGACTAGAGTCCGGAACAATGAAGCGAGATGACATTATGCTAGACAGAACTCCTCTGCCTTCGGATTTGGCTTGCCGTATCGGCGCGTGAATTAAGCTGGATTCTTCGCTCCCTCACGTTGGCTTGCACTGTTTTCGCATGCGGTGATCGTATTTAGTGGTGGAATGGATATGAATTGTTAAAGCGAAGTTGAGTTGCAAGCTCCTGTTTGCTTGAGCTGAACGCGCTTGGGATATTTTTTGGAGCTATCGCGATGGGTAACGCTAGCCGTTGTTTATCCGACGCGACCCTTGCACATGACATCGGCTCTCTCTAATAACTCAACCAAGCCAATAATTATCCTCCCAGCAAAATGCGAAAGCTGGTCAGTTATGTTTGTTTCCAATTGAAGGTTGAATTTTCTGCTCCTTTGTTGCATGTCTGTAGGACTTGTAAGACTTCACATTAGTCGAATTCTGTGCCCACAAAGGCTGCAGTACTTGAGCTCTTGCAAATCAAGAAGATATCATTAAGCCAAAATCGAGACAAATACCGATACTCGATCACATTTTGAACTGTGATTTTCCTTGGTACAATGAGTGATAACCAAAGCGGAATGTAAAGAGAGAGCTTCACTGAAGGTGGGGCCAGCTTGTTTGGTTGAAGTTTGGGAAGGGTCTGAATTGCTTCTTTCCAAATTCTGAAATACAGTAATCTCTTATCTTCCTCTTCCCGAGCGCTCGGAACCAAGACCGCTTTAACCTTTTGCCAACGATGATTTAAGTGATCACGTCAAGTGGGCACGGCGTCGAACGGAAGGTCTTCCGACCCCGTGAAGCCACGAAGAGCTCTCGCCCTGACTCACTGGTGCGGCCTCTCTCCCTAACCGTCGGCCAGATCGGTCTCATCTGCCGAAAGAGTATTCCGTCTTTGGGGCAGTCTGGTTATCTCTGCCAATGCCATCTCAGCACTTCACACCAGTGGCGCAGTACCTTGGCATACTCTGCCAACGTCCCCGCACAATGCTCTCACGTAAAGAGAGTCAAATTGGGCGTCATACGCCCAATGAGCATTGGTCTCATGCCCGAAGCCGCGATTCTTTTCCTATCTCAGTGTGGATGTGAATGTGGATTGGAGCTCCAATTGCGGGGTACGTTGTTGCCCACCGGAGTTGCTCGGTGATCGGGATCTGAGTGTGCGGACGGTTTTCCTACTGTTTCTACGTACATAAACAGATTCCCCTTGAAGATTCATCTACCCCTCAAACTGTTTTGTCTGTCTTGTCATACACTTCTTTCTTTCTCCATCGACAGTCAATTTCATCCTCATAACACAGAAACATGTCTACCGTAGGCAAGGTATGTGACTTTCACAAGCTCTACTACCCCTCATCATACCCAGTGCCCCGCCCTGAACGAGAAGCATCATATGAGAAGACGCGTTGCTGATGCTATAACTAGACCATCACCTGTAAGGCCGCCGTCGCCTGGGAGGCCGGTAAGCCTCTCTCCATTGAGGACATTGAAGTTGCTCCTCCCAAGGCCAACGAGGTCCGTATCCAGATCTACTACACTGGTGTTTGCCACACAGGTATGCTCTACCCACGTCATCGAGCTCTCGTAGCTCTTCAGTCGTGTGAATCAGCTCAGGATTAGTGTGTTAACATGATTTTAGATGCCTACACCCTCTCCGGTAAGGACCCTGAGGGTGCTTTCCCCATTGTCCTCGGACACGAGGGTGCTGGTATCGTTGAGTCCGTTGGTGAGGGCGTCACCAACGTCAAGCCTGGTGACCACGTCGTTGCCCTTTAGTATGCGTTTTCCACACCTTCATCAATCTCGCAAAAGCTAACGTATTCTCGAACAGCACCCCCGAATGCAAGGAGTGCAAGTTCTGCAAGTCCGGAAAGACCAACCTCTGCGGCAAGATCCGAGCCACTCAGGGTAAGGGTCTGATGCCCGATGGTACCTCTCGATTCAAGTGCAAGGGCAAGGATCTGCTTCACTTCATGGGCACCTCCACCTTCTCTCAGTACACCGTCGTCGCCGACATCTCCGTAGTCGCCATTGAGCACGATGCTCCTATGGACCGAACCTGCCTGCTTGGCTGCGGTATCACCACTGGATATGGTGCTGCTACCATCACAGCCAATGTTCAGGAGGGTGACAACGTGGCCGTCTTCGGTGCCGGATGTGTCGGTCTTTCAGTCGTCCAGGGTGCCGCCGCCCGTAAGGCTGGCAAGATCATTGTTGTTGATGTCAACCCCTCCAAGAAGGCATGGGGTGAGAAATTCGGTGCTACTCACTTCGTGAACCCCACCGAGCTCGGTGACCAATCCATTCAAGACAAGCTCATTGAGATGACTGATGGTGGTTGTGACTACACCTTCGACTGCACTGGCAACGTTGGTGTCATGCGTGCTGCCCTCGAGGCTTGTCACAAGGGTTGGGGTGAGAGCATTGTCATCGGTGTTGCTGCCGCTGGTCAGGAGATCTCCACTCGACGTAAGTTCACTCCTAATAGCATATTGGGATTCGAAGATACTAACTTTCGACAGCATTCCAACTTGTTACCGGCCGAGTGTGGCGAGGATGTGCATTCGGTGGTGTCAAGGGCCGCTCTCAGCTGAACGACCTTGTCGCCGACTACAAGAAGGGTGATCTCAAGGTCGACGAGTTCATCACCCACCGCAAGACTCTCGGCGAGATCAACAACGCCTTCGAGACGATGAAGCAGGGTGACTGTATCCGTGCCGTTGTCGATATGCAAAAGCTTGAGCCTAAGATTTAATGACCCAAAATGTAGTATAGATGAATGATCTCAAAATTTTATGTTAAATGGCAAACCGTTTCCCTCTGCACCGGGAACTGCTCTTATTATGTGACAAATTTGAGGACCTTGATAGACAAATAATGCCCTGTGCGATTTATACAGTGTTATATATGATGTGTACCTGTCACTCCACTGATAATCGTTAGCAAGCGGCGTACGAGGAACGATGCGTATGCCCTCGTTACTGTCAGAAGCCTTGAAACCTTCCATCATGGCAAAAAACAACAACCACTAGTCAAAAGTACCGAGTTCGACCAAGTTATCCTTAACTTATTCATGATATTTTATAAATCATGGTCAAAGTCCCGTAGGAGTTTTCTAGGACCTCGTAGTTGTGAGGTTATCTAGACAGGAATTATCAATCGTTCTACTAAGGTAACCTATATCAATAGGGACAAAGGCTGTGCAATCAACAGCCGACAACACAAGTAAATTGCCAAACATGACTATTAAATTATTAAGTACCTAGGGTAAACTGCTTGATATTAGAGGGCAAGAAACTAGTCTGGCAAGGGGAGGCAAGAAAACTTCGGACCTTTATCCTAAGTGATGAAATGACTTAGGTAAGTTTAGTGTATTTTAGTAGATCTATAGACCAATTAATCTTGGCACCCTGTTTTATCAGAGGTTTTATTACCCCCGAGGTCTGGGTACTCGCACAAAATGGAACCTTGATGGTCGCAACAATTGGCTTGCTCAAGTTGCCAGACATCTCACGAAGCTCCAAGCTACTATACTTACATAGCAGCTACCTAGGAATCTGCTTTCAGATAATTGAAGCTCTTGCAAATCCTCTGCCACACTGTATTTTTGAGACCCAAAGCCTCGGGTACTATATGGAGCTCCGTAAGATGCAAGTAAAGAGATTTCCTTTAGATATTATTTGCGTTCCAAGCGTGTTTTTAGAAAGCATCACCCTAGACTACCTATAATATGGGGTATCTCCACTAACACTGGAGGTGGGGACAGTTTTTGCAATCCTTTTGATTTCATTTGTCTACCTATGAAAAGGGGTCCATGATAAGTCGCGACTTAGATCAATCTACAATTACCAAACGAAAACATACGAAACAAACAAAATGCGCTCATCACGAATATCAAGAGACGCTTCGAAACTATTCGATCGTACGGCTGAGCCTATTTCACCACCAAGACGATTGACAAGGTCTGCGCTGGCCAAATTCGCCTTTACCTCAACAGAAGAGTCCAAACCCACGCTCGCCGATATCGAAGACAGTGGAGGTCCTGCTCGTAAACGAAGGCGTGTCGTAGTGACCAAGACCGAAATTTCGACATCCGCTCAAGGCGTAAAGCCCGAAGTGGTCGACGAAGCACTCGATGATATTCCATCACCCCCAGCAAAAGTGCGACGGGTTCGTAAGCCCGCTCGCAAAGCCTTCGATGCAACAACTGGCGAAACAAAGATGGAACCTCCCTCAGATTGGGAGGCTGTTTATGATACTGTGAGGAAGATGCGGGCACCAGGTGGGCGAGCTTACGGCGCAGCTGTTGACACTATGGGATGCGAACGTTTAGCGGATCGAAACGCATCACCAAAAGACCAAAGATTCCACACATTGGTGGCGCTCATGCTGTCGAGTCAGACAAAGGACACGGTGAACGCCGTGGTTATGAAGAAGATGCAAACTGAGCTGCCACCTTTTGAACCCGGGGCGCCGCCAGGACTAAACCTAAATAACATACTGGCAATCGACCCTAAGCTTCTGAACGAGTTCATCTGGGCGGTTGGCTTTCACAACAACAAGACAAAGTTTGTCACCCGATCGGTATGGACTGATCGAGATTGGACTGACTGGTGTTCAGGTATATCAAGCAAACAGCTGAGATTCTCCGCGATAAATGGGATGGCGATATCCCCAACACCATCGAGGGCCTCGTGTCGCTACCGGGCGTCGGACCCAAGATGGCCTATCTCTGCATGTCCGTAGCATGGGGTAAACATCTGGGGATTGGTGTTGATGTGCACGTACATCGTATCACAAATCTTTGGGGTTGGCACAAAACGAAGAACCCAGAAGAGACACGAACAACACTTCAGTCATGGCTCCCACAAGATCGATGGCATGAGATCAACCATCTTCTGGTGGGGTTGGGACAGTCAGTATGTCTTCCTGTCGGTCGCAAGTGCGGTGAATGTGATCTTGGCCTTGAAGGACTATGCAAAGCTGCCGATCGAGCAAAGGTGTCTGCCGGACGCCAGCTCAAAGCCGAAAAGATAGAATCGGAGGCTCAGAACGATACACTGGTCAAAACGGAGGTTTCACAGAACATTGTAATCAAAGAAGAGGGTGTTGTATGATGGGCTCTCAGGTTCTCATGACAGACGATTAACCCCATCCGCGGCCCCGCCCCCGGAACCAACCACCCCATAATAATCCCCAGGATCGAATTGCCTGGAGTCGCTGGCAGAAGTCGATTTGACCACGTGTATGAGCGCTTATGAAGGCTGGCATTGAGAACTGACAGAAAAGACTGCCCTCCAGACGCATTAATACCCATTGATACCCTATTCTACAAAGACAAAGTTATTAGTCTCTTGACGGCGCACTTCTGTGGTCTAGCCCAGATGGCACTATCGTATGCGCGGTCTACAGACGCTCACGAGATCAGTTATGGGCCCGATACGATATCGGAGATAAGCCGGTAAAACAAGACAGGGTCCTGGTGGTTCCCTAAAGTCGCATTAGAGGCCAGGCTCGAGCAACACGTAATCAAGCCAAGACGACGGATCTTCACTCCATTCTGAGTCAAGTAGTCAAGCAATGTCACCGCCTCTATAGCAGCAGTCGACTGAAACCGTCCGTTGATCGACGTATTCCAAGGATTACCAAATCTCAATGGACACATTTCGCTTTGTGATTGTGATGAAGAAATGAATCAATTCAGAGCCCGCTAAAGGAGGGGACAATGTCCCCTTATCATATCCTGTACGCCAACGCACCCTCAACTATCCGAATAGAAATATACACCGGCGAATAACGCTATGCATCTAATGCAGATGCTGTCTCGGAATCCAATCTCATTACGTCGTGGCCGTCAGAATGCGCATTGTGGATTTTAGGAGCGACGCCAGTCTCCAGTCCGAACCATGATATAGATATGTAAGGTGATGACTCTCGTTGGTCGATTTACACACCCCGGATAACCTGGGTTCGTTCCGACTCGAGTTGTGCAGCGTTACGCTCGTGAGACTGCTTCTTGCACTGCATGTGGGTTAGCGGGTCCGCAACCATGGGTTGGTATGAGATACCGAACTTACGTCCTCGAGACCGGTACACTTGTGGTCTTCTAGTAGGCGGTGCTTGCCGCAGAAATGACCTTGGCAAAAGGTGCAGTCGCCGACGATGCGTTGAGCGGGCTCACGGCACGAAGCAGCGGTGCAGCGAATTCGCTTAGGAGGCATGGCGTTGTTTGTTTTGTTGAATTTATGGAAAAAGTAGACCTCTGAGAGATGAACTGAACACGTTCTTGAGTCGGTGAGAGTTTATGTTGGAAGCGGTAAGAAGTTGAACCAAGAAAGGTGGTCTTTCTAGGAAATCGGATGCAGCGACGGCGTTTCGAGAAATCCGTGGAAAGTAAGAACCAAATCAGAGATTCATTCACACAACGACAGTGACAGAAGATGAACCGATCAAAACAAAACAGAAGCTGGCGGTGGAAAACGAATCTGGTCGGGGCTTTATAAAGAGCGGCGAGGCGAGGCGAGGCAAGGCGGCTGATGAATGAATCATGCCTTGGTGGAGCCAGCGGCTGGTCAGTTCGCCTCCAGCTCATCGCTCTCACCACATTCAGGCCGCGGCCATGGGCAGGGGGGAGGTGTGTAAGTTTGGTTGTTTACCTTGTTGAGTCCCATCGTTAAAGAAGCTGTTGTCACACAGTATGAAATGCATAGTCTAGTTTGTCCATCCATGCTCAGATACAGGGACCAAAGCTTGCTTATTACAGTAGCAATGAACAACGTTGACCAGCTCGCCGTTTGTTTACACATGCAATGCATATGCACAAGTACGATCCCTCACTTTTTTAGACGACATATACACAAACTCACACACACACACACAGGCACCGTCAAAGTTTGCTCTGCGATTTCCAATTTGATAGGCAATTGGAAGCACAATGACAAAGACACAACTGCAGAAGCCCGTGGAAACGCACCCCCCTCCATGTCTCTCCCGTTTTTGGCTTACTGATTAAGGGACACCCATTGAATTCGATGGGCCACTTTTACCCGCAGAGGCGCTGGGTTTTGGGGGAACTGGAATGACCAAGCCGGACCCGTCTCTCTAAATCAACAGCGAGAAAAAGGGTTCTTGTTCGTTCACCGCGAGGCTCCGAAAGCGGGCGGTGGAGGCAATAGAATTGGGCGGGGCTGGCCGTGATTGTGCTGAACTGAACTGAACTGGACCGAACTGAGACTTGGAAAAAGGGTCCGGAGAGCGAGAGATGTGACGTCGATCAGGTGGCCTAGTGAACTTGGCCTGTCCCGTCTTTTCAACCCGAGGCACATGGAAACACAATTGAGGCCGACGATGGCGGCAGATGGGGGAGTGAGTAACTCTCAACCCAGGCTCTTTCAGTCTTATTGCAGCCGTGTCGTTGCGTTGCTTTTGTTACACTGATGAGATATTCTAAGCAGAGTGCCAATGGCTTCATCTGATGCACTGCTGCTGCATCTGCATTGCTACAGTGTGCATCCTCGTTCCTCAATTACTCTCATCCAAACGCTTATCGCCGCGCCTGGCGCTCTAGATGCTCATCGCAGTTGCTGGGTGGTCCCCTTGTTTTTCGAGCCTGAGCTTCGTATCCACGAGGTCTAGGCCTACCACGGCCTACGTAACGTGCTACAGTTCTACCGCCTGTGTGCTTCACTGCTTGTGTTTCCGACAAATTCCTGGGGTTCCATGTCGTGGGACCAAGAGGGACTGGGATAAGGGTTCGTACCTTGTCAATGCCCGCTACCCTGCATCTTGGAAGTCTTTTCATCTCCAATCGGTTAACAGAAGGGATTTAAAAACATGGCCTTAATGCATGGGGATCGCCCCCCCAACAAGCATGGAGGTTCGCGCTGGCAGTTGGTAACCTAGCGTCCTAGCCACTGCATCATTGGCACAATTCGGAGCCAGGGTCCGACGAGTCAGGTTTAGCTCGAGTGTGTCTTAGGCCATGAATCGAATGGCTCAGCTGTTCTGTAATACCTATCAACAAATCGATCCAAGCGCTTAAAGAAATAGGCGGTGGGAGTGTGTTGTCAGTGAATCACTTGATGAGAGACACCATTAAGAACGACGCCTTATCCCGGCGACTCCAATCTCGAGACGTTGGAGATGAGATGAGCGTTTGTAGTAAGCCTCACTAATCAATAAGATTTCACTTCATGCTGATCTCGTGAGTGGGGCACAGACAGTCCTTCAAGTCTGAAGTTCTTGAGGAATGACGCCAGACAGATGAATGTATACGTCAACACTACAGAGCCCATCAGCGAGCTTAGATCTGAAGCTACAATACGCTGTCGTCTTGAATTTTGAAAACGACGATCCTGTCGAGTGCCAGCCATGTCATGCATATTGTGTGACTCGTGGCCTGTTTCCTGGCAATCACAAATTCTGCCTCCGTCAGTCGATCAAAATCTTACATTGACTTATCCTTCAATTTCCACTTACCGGCAGATTGTTAGCTGCATGATATTCTCCCCATTCCGCGACACGTTCGAGTCGTCCGGCGTCCTCCGCGTCCCATGTCTCCGGTAACCTGCTCCGTGCATCTCCGGAGACGCCGGACCCGGGACTCCGGCTGGAATAGTTCCCGCATATGCAACGGCAAAGACATAGAATAAACCTCAGCTGGAGTAGAACCTTTTTGCAATACTGTATGAACTCTCTGGAGCTTTCCGGTGTCTCGAACCTGTTGGTAAGCTCGCCGCTAGATTGAGTCAGGATCCGCCACTCCCGATAACTGGGGTTTCTAGTGCTTCTTTTTTCCCTTTAACTACCTAAACTTCAAGTGTGTCCGGTTTTGGTATTGCCCATATTCCAACTCCATGTGTCTTGGCCGTGTGATTAAAAGAAACTGCTCTTATTCTTTGATCAATTGCTGCCAAGAACGTGGATGAGATGCAAACACTTCAAACCACGCCTAGGCTATAGCCCAATACAAGTGACAGGGATTATATGAATTGGAAAATAGCCGTCATCGTATAGGGGTCAGTACATCAGTTTGTGGCTCTTCGAAGCACTGAAAACGCAAGTTCGAGTCTTGCTGACGGCAAACCTTTTGTTATTTTGCTTGATTTTTGCTTCATCCGATGCTTGCCATGCTATTCATAAACTTCTTTTACGCCTCGTTTCCCAACAAACAACTGAAAGCCGTCATCGTATAGGGGTCAGTACATCAGTTTGTGGCTACTTGAAAGCACTGAAAACGCAAGTTCGAGTCTTGCTGACGGCAAAATCGTCATGAATAATTGTATTATTTATTTCTTTTTGCATGGGATTGCTCTCCGCCTCATGTAGAAACCGTTGCTCCTTTATCTTCATAGGGACATTGCAGGCTTGTCAAAGTAAGGTTTCTTAGAATCGTTCAATGGAGGAAACCCAACGGGAGTTCACCCATAATTGCCATTGGCTGATGTTAATCATATGGTTGTAAAACTTTCACTCTCTGCCACTCTTTTGGTGTTTTTGTTATCCTCCCAGCAACTTTTGGTTAATAAGAACACACTATCAAGGAGAACCTTGTCCTTGAAAATACCTGACATTGATCTCAGTGAATAACTGTCCTTAAAATTGCCTATTCGGGTGATTGAAGCTATCAATTACCAATCACGCAACGTGGGGTTTGTGACGACATAATAGCCGCCTGAGAGTCACCCAAGTAGTTTCAACTTGCACAAAGAGCGATGCATACTTGTTTCGGAGGTCGCCAACTGGAACGTAATTGACCTTTCTCGTTTTTGCTAACATTCATCTCAATCATCTGACGCACACGCACGTTTTGATGCTCTAGAGACCTTCGCTTTAATCCCTCTTCCCCTCACCAACATCCCGAAAGATATCCGCCATGACAGCAACATCACAGCGCGGTATTAGGATTGCTATTGATAGAGGTGGCACTTTCACCGACTGTGTAGGAGAGAGCAATGGAAAGGAGATTATCGTCAAGCTTCTGTCCGAGGACCCGGCCAACTATAAAGATGCCCCGCTTGAGGGTATTCGGCGCATCATGAGCCACTTTCTCGGCAGAGATATTCCTCGAGGTGAAGCTTTGGACACTTCTCAGATTGATTCGATTCGGATGGGAACAACTGTCGCCACAAACGCCTTGCTCGAGAGAAAGGGAGAAAAAATTGCTATGGTCGTTACCAAGGGTTTCAAGGACTGCCTGACCATCGGAAATCAGTCGAGGCCCAAAATCTTTGACCTTGCAATTCGGAAGCCCGACGTGTTATACGAGAAAGTTATTGAGATTGACGAGCGGGTTACACTCGAAGATTACGCTGAGGATCCCGAAAGAACGCAAACGGAAGCAGAGGCTCAAGTTGGTACTAAAGAAGCCGAAGGCAAGACTCTTGTTCGAGGTTTGTCTGGCGAAACAGTCAGAATTCTCAAAAAAGCCGAACAAGAAGACATTCGATCAAAGCTCCAAAGTGTCTACGATCAAGGCATTCGCAGCATCGCTGTTTGTCTGATGCACGGCTACACCTATCCTGACCATGAAGCTCTGATTGGGCGGATAGCTAAGGATATCGGCTTCCAACATATATCACTAAGCCACGAGCTCATGCCCATGATAAAACTGGTTTCACGAGCTACATCTGTTTGTGCTGATGCTTATCTCACACCGGCTATTCGCAAGTACATTGATGGCTTCCAGGCTGGGTTCGAAGGCGGCCTTGGAACTCGTAGCGTGAAGGAGGAGAAGGGTGCTAAGGGAGCGAGATGCGAGTTTATGCAGAGTGATGGTGGCCTTGTCGATGTGGAAAAGTTCACTGGACTCAAGGCAATTCTATCAGGCCCTGCAGGAGGTGTCGTGGGATACGCTATCACTTCGTATGATGAAGAAACAAAGACACCGGTCATCGGCTTCGATATGGTGAGTTAAATGGTGTTTTCAAAGCAGCAGACTAACTTGAGTAGGGTGGCACAAGCACTGATGTTTCAAGATATGGCGAAGGCCGTTACGAACATGTGTTCGAGACAACAACTGCTGGCGTTACAATTCAGTCACCACAACTGGACATCAATACGGTTGCTGCCGGTGGCGGCTCTCGCCTCTTTTTCAGGAATGGACTTTTCGTTGTTGGACCTGAGTCCGCAGGCGCTCACCCAGGTCCTGCGTGTTACCGTAAAGGAGGTCCAGCCACCGTCACAGACGCAAATTTGGTACTTGGCCGCCTACTTCCTGAATTCTTTCCTAAGATTTTTGGAGAGAATGAGGACCAGGGGTTGGATATCGAGGCTAGCCGAAAAGTTCTTCAGGAGCTCGCAGATCAAGTGAACCAGGAGAATAACAAAAACCTGACGGTAGACGAAGTTGCATATGGATTCTTGACCGTAGCTAATGAGACAATGACTCGCCCCATCCGGTCGATTACCGAAGCTAAGGGACACGATTCTTCAAAACATCGACTTGCAACATTTGGTGGTGCTGGTGGTCAGCACGCTGTCGCCATTGCGGAGTCTCTGGGCATTCAACAAATTCTGGTTCATCGATATTCTTCAGTTCTTTCGGCATACGGCATGGCTTTAGCAGATGTCGTTGACGAACGACAAGAGCCCGATTCATTGGTATGGAAGGACGATGACAAAACAGTTAATGAACTGAAGAAGAAAATGGAGAAGCTCAAGGACCAGTCACGAAACTCCCTAAAAGATCAAGGTTTCCAAGAAGATGAAATTGCTTTTGAAGAATACCTCAACATGAGATACCGCGGTACTGAGTCAGCTCTCATGATTGTCAGACCGACACCTGTGGAGGCCAAGGAGCATTTCGATGGGAAAGAATGGGATTTTGGCCAAGTTTTCGTGAAGCAGCACCGCTATGAATTTGGTTTCACGCTTGACGAGCGAGACATCATCGTTGATGATGTCCGTGTACGTGGTATCGGCAAGAGTTTCCGACACCAAGATGATACAGTTGACAAGCAGCTCAAGGGACTAAAGCAGCAGAAGGTTTCCGACAAGAAGAAGCTTGACAGCCAACAGGTATACTTTGAGGGTGGCAGGAAGGAAACTCCTATATTCAAGCTTGAAGATCTAGATACTGGCGATTCGATCCCTGGACCAGCCATGCTTGCCGACGGCACTCAAACCATCGTTGTAACACCAAAGGCAACTGCGATTATTCTCAAGACTCATGTAGTCATTAATCTGGAGAAGGAGGGAGCAAAGTCCGAGTAAGTTGTGTCTTGACCACAATCCTATCGCATTCTAATGGATTTAGGTCTGCCAAGTCATCTGAGGATCGCGAGGTTGATCCTATCATGCTCAGTATTTTTGGTCATCGATTTATGGCAATCGCTGAGCAGATGGGGCGTGCCTTACAAAAGACTAGTGTTAGCACAAATGTCAAAGAGAGACTTGACTTTTCGTGTGCCATTTTCGATGCCACAGGCGGCCTTGTAGCCAACGCTCCTCATCTACCTGTCCATCTTGGTTCAATGTCTACTTGCGTACGACGCCAGGCTGAGATTTGGAAAGGAAGACTGGAGAAGGGCGATGTCATAATCTCTAACCACCCTTCATATGGAGGAACTCATCTTCCGGATGTGACCTTATTGATGCCAGCGTTTGATGAGAAGGGAGAAAACATCCTCTTCTACGCTGCGTCTCGAGCTCACCATGCTGATATTGGTGGTATTAGCGCCGGAAGCATGCCACCTCACTCCCGAGAGCTCTATCAAGAGGGCGCCTCTATCGGAAGTGAGAAGCTTGTGAGTGGTGGCAAGTTCAATGAGAAACGTGTTGTTGAGTTGTTCTACGAAGAACCTGCCAAGTATCCAGGCTGCAGTGGAACCCGTTGTCTGGCTGACAACATCAACGACTTGAGAGCTCAAGTCTCGGCGAATCAAAAGGGAATCTCACTCATTGAGACTCTGATCGCAGAGTATGGCGAGGAGACAGTGCAGTTCTATATGGTCCATATCCAGAATAATGCCGAGCAGTGTGTGCGCCGACTACTCAAAGATGTTTACAAGCGATTTGAAGGCAGGGACCTCTCGGCAGTTGACTTTATGGACGACGGTTCTCCCATTCGATTGAAAATTCGCATTGACCCAGAAAAGGGTGAAGCGGAATTTGATTTCTCGGGTACTGGCCCCGAAGTCTACGGAAATATCAACGCCCCCCAGGCCATTACGTTCAGTGCTATTATTTACTGTTTGAGATGCCTGATTTCCGAAGACATCCCGCTTAACCAAGGATGCTTGAAGCCGATTCATGTCAAGATCCCTCCCAAGTCCATTCTGTCGCCGTCGCCAGGGGCTGCAGTTGTGGGGGGCAATGTCCTTACCAGTCAACGCATCACAGATGTTATTTTCAAAGCATTCCAGGCTTGTGCTGCCAGTCAGGGATGCTGCAATAACTTGACTTTTGGATTTGGCGGGAACCAAGACGGCACCGAAGCTGTCAAGGGTTTCGGATACTACGAGACGATCGCTGGCGGAAGTGGTGCGGGTTCTGACTGGGAGGGAACCAGTGGTGTTCACTGTCATATGACAAACACTCGAATCACAGATTCAGAGATTTTTGAACGTCGTTATCCTGTACTTCTCCACGAGTTCTCTATTCGATCCGGTTCAGGAGGGCGAGGCCAACATCGCGGTGGTGACGGCGTGATCCGTGACATTGAGTTCCGGATCCCCCTTCAAGTGTCCATCCTCAGTGAGCGTCGCGTCTATCGCCCGTATGGGCTGAATGGTGGCGGCGACGGAGAATGTGGTCTGAACCTGTGGGTGCGCAACGTTGAAAAGGCCAACTGGGAGACTTCTCTGAAACAGTTTCACACAAAGGAAGATGCAGGGCAGGTTGAATACGAGGAGCGACGTATCAACATGGGGGCTAAAAACACAGCTGCTATGAAGGCTGGGGATCGTATCATTGTCTGCACACCTGGAGGAGGTGCATGGGGAGCTGAGGGGTCAGAGAGTGTGGCTAGAAAGAAGATTGACCATACTGAGGGCTGGAGGAAGGGTAGTGGTAACACAAGGGATGAGACTGCACTCCAGGCTTAGACAGAGCGAAATATGATATTGGTTTGTTGCCTAACAAAGGGCTTAACCTGAATGGGTTCGGGATGGGGCTGAAGGAACCGGAGTCGAAGAGGATGAAATCAAAGATTTCTGTACGCGAGTCTCAAAGGCTGTCGTAGAGTTTGGTAGAATTCCAAGAGAGATTTGAAAGCCAGTTTCATCATGCTTTAAAACCCAACCTGTGTAGCCTAGAGATGTCTCAGGTGAAGCCGCTATCGATGACAGAATTGTGCTGTTGTGGAATCTATGCATGTCTCACCGTGAACCTTCAACCTGAAGGTTAAGACATTCACAGGTCGTGCTCTACTGTGCTATCTCATCGCGTAATTGACATGTTGCTGGTCACATTTTTGAGTGTCAAAAAGCTAGCAACGAGTCTTGTTGGCAGCTCCGTGAAACCACGACAAGGCATCCATAATGCTGTTATGCAGCCCAACCAACATATGATTGGGAGATATAGGTACCCAGGTATTATGATCATTTTGCATGCATCCATGGCAGTGTTCATCTTTTCTAGGTTTGATGTTTCACCGAGAATTTCAAACAGTTCGGGCCTTGCCTAGATGGGGCATGCAAGAAAATATACCCGAATCTTCTCATTTGAAGTTTCAAGCCTCCTATTGGTGCCTCAGTAGCTACGGTACGTAGAACTTATGAAAAGCGACAAGACGAGGGATAACCATGCTGCGACTTGATGCATTGATCACCAGGGGAAACCTTTCCTACCCTTATGTGCAAAATGTAGCGAAACTCCCGTAGTGAAGAAAGAAGGCTTCTTCTGAAAGAGATTGAGGTAGTGAATTAGCTCCCTCTGCATAGAGGTGCCTGAAAATTCTGTGTTGCGATGCAGCTTACAACCTCCAACACAAATCACACACACAGACACACTTGCATATAACCAATCTCAATCGCAGACTAACTCCGATAGACTGGTTCGATAACGGCCGTTTCCGATTAGTCCCCCCCTGATCGCCAAAAATTACACCATCACTGCTGTTTCTCGAAAATGGCTATGCAAGTCACCGGTGCCACACGGCAAGAAGGACGTTAGAATAAGACTTGTCTCCCACCGAAACAATATCTACAACATCCAATGAATATGCCCAATTGCTCGCCACTCCTATCAACCCCAGTCAGCCCTACGGGGAATAGACATGGATAATGGGGGCTGCTGCATTAGCTCAACCACTGATGGGCCAGGGTCTTGGCCCCCAATCTCCATATGGGCCCTTGGAGTTGTTGATCTACACTCAATACTCTTGCCCCCGAGAACCAGAGCCTCGTTGCGATCTCACACTAGAACAGGCTACAGTGTCTTCTGCCTTGCTAGCATCAGTGTAGCCTATCTTCAAGCCAATGACGGCTTGTCCGATGCAATGCGGATGGGGCGGGCGTTGAACTACATCTGCATACCGGGAACCATGAATTGCCTCTTCTTCAACTTCATAAGGCATTCTGTATGCCTGTGAGGCGTTTAATCTACGAACCATGGTTAATGTCTCATGCTTAAACACACTGGTTCCCATAAGTCCAGGTTAAAGATTGGTCGGTCAACTCCTACCGTGACCGCGACTGACGCAGAGGTATGCACCTCCTTTGTGGCGGAAGCATAGAACAGGGATCGAAGATAAACAATCGATCAGGTGGATGGCTGTCGACGACTTGTCAGTTTGAGGGTCTGAGAATGTCATGATTTGACATCGAGTTCTCAAGAACGAGACATCCATATCCACCGTGAACCTCAACACAGCCATGCTACATCAACCAAACGGATTGACTGTTGTAAGGCTAACGAGGCAGCCAACAAGCTGCATGTGATCACGATAAGTCTTGTGCTTCAATGTGCACTGCCTTTGTACCCTACGGCTATCGGCCAGACAAATGCCGTGTAAGATCTCAGAGGGATATTTGTCACTTATTGTAACTTAATCTGACCAATCCGCGATTAGTAGTTTAAGTTTCTCACAACTTCTTGGCCCCTTAAACTCGTTAGGCACCCTTATTCACGGTCCCCTGACTTCACATGGCAATTCAACACCATTCCGGACCTATTACTTGAAGCAGGAACTCAAGTGCACCCCACAATTGTGACGAAAAGGAGGTTGCTGATAACTTTCCAAAGCTATACTGTGTGAGAATTCGTGCAGACATTCGTCCGTTACTAACTACACGGCAACTTATCACGAGCCAGTAGAGGCTCTTGGTTGGACTTGAACCACAAATGTCTTATCCCCCTGCTTCTGCCTGTGACTGAGGCCTCTCCGATGAGCCTTGTTCACTGAGTTTACCTTACAATGCTTGTTGCCGTACTCAGCCATGCGTTTGTCTAGACTTGAGGCTCAACTGCACCCCCAAGATCTTGAATCAAGAATTCAGACAACAAGCTATTTAGGGGACGCTAAGTTCTCAAAAGTACAACCTCAGTCATTCCTTCTCTAGCTCTTTCTCGACTATCTTAGCATCTGTACACTGTCCTGGTAGAATTCGCCGAAACTGTGTGTAATACTTTCACCATGATGCGAATAGCTATAGCTGGGGGCTCCGGCCTTGGATATCTCCTGGCAAGTCATATATCCAAAGCAGCAAACGCTTATCAAGTTGTTGTTCTCTCACGATCTGTAAGTATGACTATTATGTATATATGAGGTTTCTAACAACACAGTCACGTCCCGAATATGCAGCACTTGACGTTCAAGTCATGGTTGTTGACTACAATGACGAAAATAGCCTAGCATACGCACTTCACGGAGTTAATCTTGTCATCTGCACATTTTCAGGGGGTGAACAGGTCAACCTGATCACTGCAGCTGTCCAAGGCGGTGTACAATTCTTTGTCCCTTCCGAGTTCGAAGGAAGCCTCGAAAAGCGGCCCGAAAACGATCAACTCGACCCCTATTCGTACTCGTCCCAAGCGAGACAGCATCTCAGACGCTGTGCAAGATCATCCCAGATGAAGTGGACAGTCTTCTCCTGCGGTATCTTCATGGAGAGATTTCTCCCCCAGGGGCTCGGAAGTTTGGCCATTGGTTATGGTTCAAACTTAGCCAACGTGGGATCTTACATTCTTGACATGAATACCTATACTGCTGAGTGCGTTGAAAAAAATCCTCGAGGGCATACTGTCCGTGTCTGCATGACATCTGTATATGATGTTGCTCGATTCATCGTTGCTGCCATTGATTTAGGACCTGCGAACTGGCCTCGCGAGTTTACGATGAGAGGAGACCGTCTGTCGCTTCGTGACATTGTTGGGCAATGCTCAAGAACCCTGAACGGTAAGTTAACATCATAAGTATGGAAAGATTATGCTAACTCATTAAGCGGCATTTTCTCTTTCTCAATGGCAAGCTTCAGATATTGCAGGACTTATGAGTGGTTTCTGTCAACAGGGAGATTACGCCAAAATTGCCTTTTATCAGCAGCTTCAAGCTACTGTTGAAGGGCGTTACGATTTTGGGCATACATCGTTGAATGGCCTTGTCAATGTGCAGCCGAGAAGCTTTCGCCAGTGGTTGAGTGACCAGTTTACAGGATAAAGCCACTATGGAGGCTTCTTCTGGCTTCTTTCACTATGGGTCAGCAATACAATCTTTGACTATGTTGTGTCGATGGACGTTCACTTTCTTTAGTTTACAGCTGTGCTGTATGTTGGTACTGGTAGCAACAAGGCAACAAATTAGCGGCTGGTATCGCGGTCTTCATATTTTATTGTTTATCTAGGCAGCTAAAAGAACTAAACTCCGCTTTTCACTCTTTATTGCAATTGCCCATAGAACGTTCTGTGGTCTTTAGTCTTCGTTGCTATAGGTCCTTTTTGGGAATGTACTGTATGAAAGAAATTCTTACTAGGGACACCAGGCCTGGCATTGGCAGATCCTGTGCGACAAGCGGCCACACTGGAGTCTAAAGAAACTTAGCGAGTACTTGGACGCTTTGCGAGAACTGTTGAAACAAACTTGTTCCTATGACTTGATACTGATACCATTATAAGTTCAGAGCAATCCTGGTCGAACTTTGATGAATGATTTCATGATTTTCGACAATCTTTACCTTAATTACTAAACCTGGATCCCATAATGTAGGCTTGTATTTCCCGTGACAAACTCCGCCTTCTTCCAAGAATACGACCTTGTAGTCTTCAGGATCGACACCAGGCCCAGGAATAGACTCATGTGGAGGTTGGAAAGCCAAACCTCGGGACAAGGTATGACCCCAGTCAAGAATGCGGAGAAAACATGCATGGTTGCAAGAGTAATTCCAACAACGATCATGGTTCACATTCCGTTTCTGGCTCTTAGTTCCGCGTTGAAAACACCAGGAATCCATGAACCCGGAATTTCTTCCGCACGACTTACCCAAAATGGCGGAATACTGGCTCGACTTGGAGGTCTGACCCCACTGGAGGTCCCCGATGAGATGTAGTCGATGGCTTGTGATTGAATGTCCTGACAAGTGTTAGCAGTGCCGACCAACAGTGATAAAGCAAGCTCGGGCGGGATCCAACATGTTCAAATTTCTCTTCTCGTACCTCATTCAGTCATGGAGGCTTCAGGCGCAGATAAGGGCTTCTTTCAGAAGCCTCCTGTTCTGAACAATCAGTTTCATGATGATGTGACCTTTCAGAGATGCTTTAAGTGTGGGTTCAAGGCCAGTTACTATCATTCAGAGGCCTGTGCTTACTTGTCTTCGCAGTGTTTCTTCCACGGCAAATCGTTCAGCAAGTCCAGGCTGAAATGGCTTCACTTGGAGATGATGTCCTCTCCGACCAAGTTTTTGCCTGGATCACGGATGCTGAACATAACAAACCCTTCCTTAAAGGATCAGGCCGTGATGTATTCGGCCAGTGGAAGGGTGATTTAGTCACTGGTGAAGGGTGGCGTGGCCTTCAGAATTTTGGCCTGTCCCGAGGGTAAGACATATACATTGTTGACTGATCAGCTATTGACATGTCTAGATTTGTCGCCGCTGGATATGATACTCCATATGGTGCATTTGCACGAGCATACCAGTTCATGCGCATACAACTTTGGACGCCATCGTGCGCCAACGTCGGTTGTCCTTCCGCTATGCAGGATGGCGCTGCTCGACTTCTACAAACACACCTTGGTAGCCCAGAACTCGTTATGAAACTCACAGATGAGCAAAAGAAAGTATTCGAGAACGCTTTCAGTCATCTAACCACACGAGATCCACAGAATGCATGGACCAGTGGCCAGTGGATGACTGAGCGAACGGGGGGCAGTGATGTGTCGTTGACCGAAACAACAGCAGTGCACATGCCAACTTCTGAGATCCAACTCGCCTCGAAAGATGAAAAGATACCACTGGGACCATGGAGTATCAATGGCTTCAAGTGGTTTTCGTCAGCAACGGACTCAAGAATGACTGTCCTCCTTGCTCGAACATCTAGAGGCGGACTTTCAACCTTTATGGCCCCGATGTACAAACACGATGCGAGTGCTACCACAGCCACCGGACTTCCGAGAAGCAACGGAGAGCAACTTAATGGAGTTCGTATCCAACGTTTGAAAAACAAATCAGGCACACAGAGTCTCCCAACAGCTGAACTAGTTCTCCAGGACATGCGAGCATGGCTTGTAGGTCAAGAAGGCCGAGGCATCCAAGAAATCGCAACAATTTTGACCTTGACTCGAGTGCACTCTTCAGTTGCTGCTGTGGGTTATTTAGGAAGAGGGTTTGCCATCGCAAGAGCATATGCTCAAGTTCGAAAGGTTGGTGGCGGAAAGGGAACTCGAATGAAGCTCACAGAGAGTTCATTACATATGAGAACCCTTTCAAAGATATCTTCCGAGTATCGTGGCCTTATGCTTCTTACCATCTTTACATCATATGTCCTCGGCGTTTCGGAGCATGACATAGCGTCAGACGCAAGTCTTTCACCTGCGCTAGAGGCGCTGACACCCTCTGCACAACATGCTGCGCCATTGATTCGGGTTCTTACTCAACTCACAAAAGCTTACGTTTGCAAAGCATCGGTACAGCTACTTTTCTCTTGTATGGAGGCGCTCGGTGGTGTTGGGTACCTTGCCAATGAAGAACAAGAGTACCTCAATATCGCCCGCCTCCATCGTGATTGTGCTGTACTGCCTATCTGGGAGGGCACAACGGATGTTTTGAGCACTGACTTCTTGAGGGCTATTAAGCATACGAAGGCTGGTCAGGACACTCTGAACGCCCTCGAAGACTCTATTAAGAAAGGTATGGCATTTCAAGGAAAGGTATCTTGGCCTGAAGGCTTGAACCCTTTGGATGTTTGGAAGAGCCTGAGGCAGCGTATTGAACGAGAATCGTTGGCAGACTTAATGGGAGATGCTAGGGAAGTTCTCTGGGCTGTGGCAGATTTACTGGTGTCTGTTCTGCTCTATGTTGACGCTGGTAGTGACGGTGATCAAGTGTCACTGGACATTTTCCATCGATTCTTGGAAGGGAAGAATGTCACTACGAAGCGAGAAAAGGTCTCAGCTCAAGAACAGCTTGCGAAGGACTTCGCAGTTGTGTATGGAGGCGCTAGAAACGAGATCTTTGCCAAGCTTTGACAGCACCATTGGTATTGATTCATGGCTGTATCATTTCACTCATTTTTGCGAATCTGGGGCCAGCACTGTCCTCGTCACATATAAAATGAAAGCTCAAGAGAAACCAAGAATGTTGAACCAAATGCAAAGAATGGGTATTAAGTAGTTGTACGCCTGTCCCACATCAACCCTGGAGACTCTTGCATGTGCCCTTAAAATTCTTCGCCTTCAGTGTAACCTTCTTACACGCCGTAGCATCAGTGTGTTTGTCTCCATATAGAACAGTACCCTTTGCACTTGTAGAAGTTTTTGAGCAGGAGTTGAATGTGCTTCCTCCATCATGCTGAAGAAGCGTATTGCTGCCACTCTTTTGTAACGTCCATGATTGGAAACCAGGCGTTGGATCGACGCATTTGAGAGCACCGCTTGGGCTGAGAAAGCAAGCGTTGAAGGCGTTGTCTCGAAGAATGTCTTGAGAGTTGGACAGATCGATACAGTAGAAGCCGTTGGTTTTGCCGGCATTGAGCAGCAGGTTGCCGTCGCTGTTTTGTTGAACTGTAGCACTAGTTGCCACATCTTGTAACGTGAAGCAGCAATGGCCATCGAAGACAGTATCCCGAGGGATAACTGCAGCTGTGGCCACGGTGCACAAGAGAGTGACCAGAGTGAATGACTTCATCTTGAAGAGGATATGGTGGATGATGTGAGCAGCGTAGATTAAGTATAGTATGAACTCGTAAGATTATTGAGTCCAGCTCAATTGTTAAAGATAGTAATAGAGAACTCAAACATCGTAGACATCACAAGAATTCCCTCGCCTTTTATAATTCTGGAGACCTCATTATCCGTCACCCATCAGGCTCGGCTTCATTAGGATCAGCAGAAATAAATCCATTCAAAGGCATCCAACCGAATGTGAGAATGCACGTTGGTCGAAGGATTGAGTCAGAAAGAAAGCCACTTGGCTCACGATGGTCAGCAGAAAGTCACATTTATCGTGAAAAGTCGGTCTCTAGAACTGTGATGTCCCGTGCAGGTGACTCCAAGTGATGGACGTGACGATTTCCATTGGGAGTCTCGGGGTTTCGCGCTATAGGACGAACAAAACTAGGGCCATTCTCAGGAGCGAATGGCTTGTCAGGAACAGCCGCGAACTAATTAGCAGAGTGACATTCGACGTGATTGTTGGTGCTATGCCGTTCATGCTCCGAGATGCAAGGCACAGGGTGGGTGACAGGCCAGGGATATCCTCCTTCACCGCAGGATAGAAAGCGGGGATAGCTTCATTTCATGCGTCCAGCCACAGACTGCCGGGGAGAATATCTTGAGGAGAAGATTGGTTGCAGGGAGTCAAGTGTGACGATGCATGATCCTGGAGGTGATAAGGTGCGTCTACTGTGAGCTATGAGACTAGCTCAGCCAATCAGAGGCTGTGATGCGGTTAATCACGCTGCGGGTGTAACGACTGCACAGTCACGTGAAACAAGATGTCGTTATCGGCGAGGGCCTTGGAGTAATACACCGTTTGTTACGCTCAACTCAAAGCGTAACCGTTTGTGCCTCTACGTCACATCCTTAACTTTACATTCAACGCTTCACTTTACCTTTAACAGGGTGTTTTTCTACATTGATGTGCAATACTCTTCATCAAATCATGTCTCACCACATCTGACGTGTTCTTGTTTTGATCCTTCGTTATCATAAGCAGCTCATCTGACTTCAGCGATCTTCTGCTTAGCACGCTTCCCCGACCTGCCTAATCCACCTACAGTATCCTACCGTTTCACCGCTCGCGGACGACTTTCTAGCTCTAACTTATCCATAAACCTCCACCGAACACTTGAGAGCAACTGCTTCCTCCAATCGATCAAGGAATCATGGCGGACGAGCATACCATGTCCAGTGAAGAGTGGGAGGAAGTTTCTCAAGACATCCCCTCACTCTCGGACCCCTTCCTTCAGCAATATCTCACAGGCCGAGCAAACCTCATGAGTCAAGAACAAAAGTCTCGCACAGATGCTTCATTCAGAGCCTCTCTTTCACCTATTGCCAAGCGCGCGAGTGACATCGTCGACTGCATCCGCGACCAGGAGAATGACTCCATCTGGACTCCTCAAGTTGAGGAAGAGTTAGCTCAAGCAGGAAACGAATGCATCTTTCCAGGAATGATGTTCATGCTGGCAAAAGATCGCATGGAGAAGACAAACCTTTGGAAGATTGTTCGACGCATGCCAAAGGGAGCGCTGCTTCATGCTCACATGGATGCCATGGTCAACTTTGACTTTCTCTTTGATGAGCTTCTGAAAATGCCAGGAATGCATATGTGTAGCGACCGACCTCTCAACACTGAAGAATCTCGAGAGGATGCAGTTCCTAGCTTCCGATACAGAACCAAGGCGGACACTGATGGATCTATTTGGGAAGAGAGCTACAAGCCTGATGCTTTTGTGCCACTTCCAAAGGCGGCAGATGAGTTTCCCCATGGTGGACGATCCGGCTTTCTCAAGTGGCTGAAGGGCCGATGCACTCTTTCCGTCACAGACACCCATGAGCAACACCATGGAGTTGATGCCATTTGGGTCAAGTTTGGAAAGTGTTTCCTCGTGTGCGCCACCATCATTCACTATGAACCCATGTTCCGGATTTTCCTCCGCGAGCTCATGAAGAACCTCAAGGATGATGGTGTCAACTGGGCTGAACTTCGGTAAGTCATAAGTCAACAATTTCTGATCTTCCTCTAACAGCTATAGATTCACTTGGCCACTTAACTATTGTCGTGATAAACAAGAGGAGCCTGAGAAAGACTACATTCACATGTTTGAGGTTCTGCGTGAAGAAATCGATAACTTCAAGAAATCGCCGGAGGGTAAGGGTTTCTGGGGTCTCACCACCATTTGGACTTGCCTAAGAAGCTGGCCGACCCGTCTGATCATAGAGAACATGGACTGCTGTATCGCTACCAAGATTGCTTTCCCTGACCTCATTGCTGGTTATGATTTGGTTGGTCCCGAGGATCTGGGCCGACCCCTGTCTGATCTACTCCCCGAGCTTTTCTGGTTCCGCAAGCAGTGCGCCATGGAAGGCGTCAACCTCCCCTTCTTCTTCCATGCAGGAGAGACACTTGGGGATGGCACTGACACTGATGCCAATTTGTTTGATGCGATCTTGCTTGGCACCCGACGCATCGGCCACGGCTTCAGTCTCTTCAAACACCCCCTGCTGATCGATATGGTCAAGGAGAAACGTATTCTCATCGAGTCGTGCCCCATCTCGAACGAGGTCCTCCGCCTCTGTGGCTCCGTAACAGCCCATCCCCTGCCCGCCCTTTTGGCGCGTGGTGTTGTTTGCAGTCTGTGTAACGACGATCCCGCTATGCTCGGGCAAGACACAGCCGGCATGTCACACGACTTCTGGCAGGCTCTCCAGGGGTGGAAGAACCTTGGCCTTGCAGGCCTTGGTAGCCTCGCGGAGAACAGCGTCAGATGGGCCGCTTTCGAGGACCAGAACCAGACTGACTGGATCAACGACATCAAGCAGGCTAGCCTTGGGACGAATGTCAAGGCCAAGAGAATGCAAGAGTGGCAGATCGAGTGGGAGAAGTTTTGCCTCTGGATTGTTGAGGAGTTTGGTGATGAATTTGGTGATGAAAAGGAGAAAGAAACGGCCAGTGATGCCTAGACACCTCTTCACGATAAGACGATAGACTAAGATGAAGGAAAAGCTGGTGCATATCGGCGTTGCATACTGAGATTTAGGCGCGTTCAACACAGGCGGTTGGGGAGTTCAACCATCATCTCCATGGATAGGGGCGTATCAGAGGTATACTTCATAAAGAGCTTGTGCCTAGAAATGTCAAAAAGACTAGAGAGTTAGCATCACCCACATTAAACCGTACTTCGCGATAGCCAGCCCCTTCGTCTCCACACTGCCATCGTCCATCACCGGCTCGTACTTATTCTTGCTCGACGCGACAATCGACTTGTAGACTTGCCCTTCACGCCAGCCCCACATCCTCGAACGGCGCCCCCCTTGGAACTAGCCTTAATCGCCTTTGGTCACCGCCATTGCCTTGTTCATGCAGTTCTGCTGGTCGACCCCCATGACGTACACGAAGATCGAGTCAGTGTCGCCGTAGGTGACGTTGTGGCCGCACTGGTTGTTGTCGATCTTCTCTCTGACGCTGCAGGGTTGGCGAAAAAGAAGGTTCAAGTCGCATACGATATGGCATTATTCGTAATGCCGAAGTTGTGGACTCCGGCGTTGAGGTGGCATCTGTCAACAGAAGTAGGCGACCCGAAGCGCAAAATTCTGCTCTGCTGCGAGTATCAATGGACAAGGGAATGTTCGGGTGGCCAATATTGTCACAGAACGTACAGAATTGGCTATTTGAAAAAGAAAAACCATGCTGTACTCCCTGAAGACTCCATGTTTTGTGGAGCGAGCAAAGCCACTCGGGGTCCTGTGAATAAACAGAATACAGTAGATTCTAGAGATGACACAGGAGAGTGGGAAAGGGTCCGGGAGTTGGCTTCTGTCTGTCAATCAATTACATTTCATTTGCATCAGGGCTCAAGTATCTGCTGGTAAATGGCTTTCTGTCTTCCTACTTGACCCAAGGGATGGGCTGTTAAAAAAATGATCAGGAATAGAGGCACTGCAACATGAACAAGGAGTGACAACGTTAGGGCAAGACTTAGATTTCAGTACAGTCTGTGTAATCAGGAATATCTGTATAGTCCCCATACATCTATAGCTGGATGAATCATCTGTGCTAAATAGCACCTCCTTCCCTTCGAACCCGATCAGATCGATAGACTCGCATCTTTCTGTACCAGCCAACGCCTGATTGTCTCCAACTACAGTGAGCTTATCAGCACCAACGACACTTACTGTCTCGACTCCATCATGAGCGATAGCTGACAGCAGTAGTCGTCTATGCGTCTACCCGGGTCTGGATGTGCTTGAATTTGAGCCTGATGTACCACTTGACGCTGGAGTGAGCTTCGTGGAGTATCAATTGGCCAGACGCGAGTTCAATTTTCTGTCATACCCTCGGAGCATTGCGCATCATGTACACGATCTCGATGTCGCAGCAAAGAATGTCCGATCGATATCAGTTGTCGTTGACAGCCGGAAAGAGCCGAAGGTGTCAAGCCAGGATCGGTCCGCAGCAACTCGTAGATGTCGATGCAGCAAGCACGAGAGTGAAGTTGGACTTGAGATGAAACAAACCATTAGTCTGGAGTTGAAGTCCCTGGGGGGAAGCACATTAGATATAAGAAAGCAAGGGGAGGCTGGCACGGTGATGACTTACAAATGATGGGCAATTGGTGAAGTTCGAAGGTACAGCCAAGGAGACGCAGAAATGTGTCACCAAGAGTTCCGTCAGATACCGGTTTTCGTCGCCAGCCGTTGAATAATCGAGATTATGGTGGTTGACTTGAGCTTCCAGCAACCTGTCTTCTGAGCCTGGCAATTCAGATATAACACCTGTTCCGTCATGGCCAGCTGAGTCACGTACTCCGAGCCCTTGGTAGCGTTGGCTTGGAATGCGATGACACAATCAGCGATTGGAAGAAAGAGTATAACGCGAGTGAACAAGACAGCGGGCGCGTGTTTCTGCTGGTGGAGGAAACGAACGTTAAGCCCAGATACCCGTTGGGGAACGTGCAACCGCGAGACTATCCCGAAAGCTGAGCACATCACTCTGCATCACCAAGTTGGGTCTTGGATACCATTGGTTGCAAGCGCGAGAGAGAAAGATGTATTTGAGTTCCTGGTGAAACAATGCCGTTCGATCATTCCGACGTTGGTCTGATCTCCCTAATTGAACTTGGCAAGGTCTGTAGGTAATGTTGTGGTCAGGAACTCTAAGATGCATCCAGTCCACCGAAAGCGAAAGGGCAGGATGTCAACGCATATAGTTCCGTTCGACAGAAGGCAACCCAGTCATTTAAACCAGTGCGAGGGTATTGCATTCAAAAAAATCCACCCTCTTGACTCATGGAGAATTGACCAGGATGGCCCAGCAGGAGGTTGGTTCCATGAACCTCCTAGTCCAACTGCCATGGTGAAGGAAAATCGGATGATCTGTAAGCCGATATCTTGAAGAAGAAAGACATGTCTCCAGACAACGTTGTTCCCTATGCTCATTATGATGGAATCTGGCGCCATTCATATCGGTTGCTGAGCTACCCGTCTCTGTATCAATCTCACCGAGATCGCGATAAAGCACACCTTGATGGAAGTCATGGTGAGTCTGGGGATGTAAGAAGCTTGGATCCATCCTATACAAACGATGATAAGAATGAGCTCGCGGAGGCAAATGATGACAGATATGAGTTCGTGAAGGGGTGGGAAGTTGTCAGAGGGGGGTCGAGAAGGCACAGAAAGTCACGGAAATAGTGGTGGTGTTGTTCGATGATCCATATGACAGTTGTTGACAGTCGATAGTAGTTATTGAAGGCGAAAAGGAATAAAACCCAAACACCAACCCGAAAGTCGGGGGGCAACGTGGTGATGGACGAGGTACAGTTAAGCGCGTTTCGTCCGACGCGCGCCTCAAGCCTGGTGCAAAGTTTATTATTGCACGAGGTATACCAGAGACAATAAGGACGAGTCTCTGGCTCATATTGCTTTTTGAGCCAACCAACCAGCAATTTTCATGCCATGCAGATTATCCTCGGGCCACTGTAGATATGTAGATCCGAGCTGGGGTTTGTGAAGGGATTTTGCGAAAGAGTTGTATTGCTGCTGATCTGGGAAACAAAACGAAAGTAGAATATTCATGCAAGAAAAGCGCATGCTTTGTGTGATAAACGCGATGTGCAAAACAGAGCTGCGGAGAAGGCCTTTTTCATTTTGGTTTTGATGTTGGGTATAGAAATGAAGAGCCAATGATTATGTGAAGAGACGGGTGTTTTGTTGTCGTAGGATAGTGATCTGAAGAATCGATATCTGTTTGTATCTGATCAGATCAAATCCTGGGCAGTTAGCATTTTGTATATTGTCATGATTTGCTTGGTGTAGGTAGGTACTTACAAGTTTCTTATTTGGGTAGGGTGTGTCTCATTAGAAGAGACGTTGGATAAAAGAAAACTCCGCAATCGATGCCAGCACGAAATGCGGTACACTTGGTTGCGAGCCAGAGGGGACCAGTTACTTAGGCCCTGTCTTTTACTCAGAAATGAGTGGCAATTACCAGAGCATGCTCTGGATGGCTTGGGGATTGTCCATCGGACTTATTCTCCTCCTCTTCTTGAGCGACCCACAACATCGCGGGACAGGGAAACAGCTGTCACTGTTATCTCTAAGTATCAGAGTTATTTTGTCCTCGATAAATCGAAGGTGTGCCTTTGGGAATACTGTACTTACCAGGTTGTGGTGGTGCTGATGCTGAGGTGAAATGAGAGGGGAAGAGGGAAGAGGAGGAGGGAGAAGTTTTGTAGCAAGAGAGGCTGCCGAGCAGGATTTTGTTTCTGCAGCAACAATTCAACTCTGTGTACATACGAAAAGGGGGTTCGGTTGCCCTAAGGTAGGGGGTTATCGGCCGTGGGTGATTCTGTTGACAGTTGTTGACAGTAGTTGACAGTGCCACGGCGCCGCAAGGGGAAGACCTCCAAGAACCTGAACTAAACTCGACAGACCCCAGTGCAGGTTTCCGGCGGCAGTTCATGTAGATGCATTCAATATTGTTTTCTTCCAGCCAGTATTTGTGGAGTATAGAAGGTCTTAGCATACCCCTGAATCACTTTGCTGGTCAATTTCCGATGGCTCTTGAAACTCGTGAAGATATTTTGCAATATCTTGACGACGGCTTACTGCTTAGAAAGAAGGCTGACTATTCGTGGACAGAAAGTACTTGAGTGAGGCATCTAGGCGGTAACGTGAGATGTGTTTAAGTCGAATCTTCAGCAGCATAAAGGTGCAGAACTCAAGTCATTCCAGGTCGATAAAAGTAGCCTCATGATGGGGGACATGAGTAAAAGGGATACTGGCTACGTTTATTAGACAGAATGCCCTGGGGAATTTACTAATAACTCAGTTCCAATAGAATGAGTCTTCATCGTTGCGTTTATGTGATCCTTCCTGCGACCACTTCTTGATTGCACGGCGAGCGTTGGCCCTTACATTGTCCCTGTTGTAGTCCCTTACTAGTCGTATTTCGGCAGCGTCGTAGTTGTAAATCGCTTCCGCACGGATCTTAACATCGTCCATGTCAGGGTCCAGACGCACATTTTCAGAGTGTAGGTTAGAACCGCCTTCGCCTTTCCAGGTCCAAAGATAGAGCCAGTTTCGTAGTTGAGGGTAAGCCCAAAATATACCGGCGCATTTGCACAGCGTTCGGGTCGTTGCTCCGTGACACTTGACTTAATCTGTTCCATGGTGAGTGGGAGGGTAACATTGAGTTTGCCGACGACGATATGACTGTCGTGAATTGACTTGTTGCTAAGAATAGGGTCCTTGGGAGCTCGTTGCAAGGTGTTCCACCCAGAGAATACGTCAGTCAAAAACCGGTTCCAATCCGATACTGTGATAATTGCTCGTGGGGTGAACTCTTTACCCAGAACCAGCTTAGGATGCTGTTTCTCACCACCAATGCCCCTATAAGTCCCCTGACTACTACTATGAAGAGCGACTTGCTGATGGTCAATCCCCTTACCAGCATCATCGTTACAAGTATCGCTACCAACGTCCCCGAAGCCAATCTCCTCCCCAGCGTCGTCGTGGCTCTATTGACCGTAATGACCCTGGCCCTACTGAACGTGGTCCTACTAGTAATGGTGGTCCCCTTGGCTATGGTCCTCCGGGATATGGACCTCCTCGACTCAACTTTAACGGCCACCAGCTCCCTGCCTGTATCGAAGACGAAGAATTAACTAAAGAGTATGTGTTGAGTGACGTATCTCGATCTGCGTCTCAGCCGGCTGGCCAGGATGCCGATGGGCCTGAAGACTTGGTATTCGGGGAGGTCCATCCTCTATTTCAGATGTACTCCGAACTCCCGAAGGTTGCGAACCCCCCATACTTACTATCAAGGGCTTTCGAAGCTTCCTTGAAGAAACCTTTAAGGATTGGGCTTCTGCTCTGGATGCTGTAATGCGATTGTATAACTGAAAGATAGACATTAGACTTGAGAATCCAAGTCATTCGACAATCGAGCCAGTGTCGGAGGTTACAGTATGCATGGTTCTGCCCCCCAACAGTACTGAGCTCTGTATAGAACTAAGGTAGTAGACCTCTTGTGGGTTGGCAAACCGTGCGGGCGTGTCGATTTGGCGGCCCCCAATGCCACACTCATTAACAAAGCATCAGATCTATCCGGTATGGTGTAGTGGCTAACATTTCGCGCTCTCACAACCTGAGAGATCAGTTCCGCGGAGCCCAGGGTTCGATTCCCTGTACCGGAGTTACTTTTTGCGATCCATATCAATGCCAGATAGCTTCAGTAAATTCTCTCGATCATTGAGTTATCCAGATGCACAGATACTTATGCTATGTGGCTAGGCCTTCTATCCTGAACATGCTACTTTTCTTTCCATAGTGATTATCTCCTAAAAACCATGAAGACCGATCTTTGAGGTGGGCGAGCGCCTCGTCGAGCGTTGGTTGTTGACCAGAACTCCGCCGTGCAGCTGGTAAAGTCGCTCGCAAGGACTCCCGTTGAATAAGAGGTTGAGCAACCAAGCCAGTCTTAGAGACTTGCCGAATATACTTCTGCGTATGGTGCTTGCAGACTTCCTTGTTGTAGGTGCCGATCCTGTTTCTCTCGTGTTGATCGCTTGGCTGAAAGCATCCTCTATATCCTTGACCGTCGGTCGCGTCAAGGATAACATCCTTTAGGTTTGCGCATGAAAGTTTTGCGTCCTTCCATTGAGTAGTGAGTGATACATTTATCACCGAGGGTCAAGGTGGTGCCATTAATCTATTAGATATCACTCAGTAAGTTACATATCACTAAAGGCTACAGGGCCGTGAGCTGTATGCATTGGCATTATCAGGCACTTGACCATTGATTTTGACAAATTCGTTGACACTTTTAGTACCATTAACGAGGTTGAATGTTGCTAAGAGCCAATGCTATCAACTACTCATATATTGAAATGAGGAACGGATGACTCGTGTCGTTCGTAGGACTCCAAGAAATGCGCAATTAACCCTAAACTTAGGATAACTATATAAATTTCGTATAATTTATGATTATACTAGGCCTAAGCTTAGGATAACATTATAATAACTTTGGGGCAGTAACAAGATCGGCCAAGATCTTGATACAGACCCAGCCTCCTTTTTCCAAGAAGCCAAACAGCCCATCTGGCATCGCAAGTTATGCGGCGCCTACACTTGCATCGAACACAACGAGATTTGTAAAGGTTCTCATCCATGAACGGACCTGGCTGGATACAGTTCTCACACATGATGGCCCTCATAGTGAAATTGACCTTGACAGAGATTTCTATGAACGACTGACGCTCTTCCAGGTACTCGATGAGCATCGATAAGGGAGGTGCTGTACAGTTCTTATTCTTGGCCCACAATGTAAGTGCCTGTTTTGGCCCGGCTCAATGCGACAGTGAGGCGGGATTCTTGGCTGTGAAGCCCCAGCCGATCCCAGTGTCGAAGATGGTGGCACCAAAGCTTGGAGATCCGTCGGCAGTTCGAATATCGAAAAGGCCGTTGGGCATCCTCACCACATATACTTTAGCCAGAGGTCCTTGATATATATTCTTCTGCGCTTTGTAACCAGTGATGATTAGAGCAAAACCGCATCCCACATGAAACGCCATGTTCTGGCTACATTCAGGATCTTACTGTCGCGGTACATTTGGATGATCAGCTGCATGACGTGGTTCAGATGGTAATGTTTGGTGAACGAGAAATCGACAAAGGTCTCCTGTGGCTCTTTGGGGCGGGTCATGATGGTGTTGCCACGAGCATCGAATGTTGCCCTCAACTACTCATGGAGGGATGTAGTGACTTCGGTAGGATCCCGATAGACGATGGAGATATCACGGCCACAGAACGCCTCGATCACGAACTCGGCAGCATGGCGCCTGGCACGATGGTTGCGCTTGAGCACAAACATGACATCGCCAGTGGCTTCCATCCATTCGAAGAACTGACTTCTCGCTAAGGGCTGTAAACAGACTTGAAATCCGACTGGCCATGAGCAAGAGCCATGGGTGAGAACTGTTTTGTATCTCCAACGAAAATGCTCAGTGATGACTGAAGCTATAGAGACGTATTCTCATTTAGTCGCGCCGCCTCGTCTGGAAACCAGTTGTGATAGTTGTCAGCTCTGCCAAAGCGACAGGTGTACCAAAGGCAATGTCTACGTCATCGATAGCGGTAAGCATAAGCCTTTGAAAAGCCTCATGATGCTTGGTCTTGTTCAGAGCATACCCGTCAGGGTTGTTGACCAGCTCGTTTCAGACATAATGTACGTCAGACCAAGTCTCAGGCTCATCAGTAGCCTTGGATCGTGCGTACTCATAGAGTGAACACTTGACTCGTGTGGGAGACTTCTCATTGAAAGCCTACTGAGGTAAGGCATTGATTGGTGTGTTGAGTAACAGCCGCCTTTGAGGGCTTGGAGGCGATATCAATAGATGTGTCGGTCTCTGTAAGTGCGATCGGCGGTGCAGTTTAGGACTCTTCGCATCTTTGGAAGTTCACAGGAAGGAACTGGACTTACAATTCGGAGTATTAATGAAGAAGTCAGATTGCGCTGACTAGTAATCTGGTCCTTGCTGCGTAGTACTCTTGTCATCTGGGCCTTGCTACAAGGCTGTACCTGATAATACCAACTTCGATATGCGCGTGGTGAGAGTTCCATCCGTTAAAACTGTCAGAGGAAACTCGTTTCTCATCTCTCATGAGGACTTTGACTTCTGGGTTGATGATGTTCATCAAGGTTTCATTTTGGTACTTGGGCATCTTGATCGCTAGGTTCAGCCACTTGACAACTTGGTTGTTGCAGATCATCGAAACGTTGTTCTGGTTAAGCAACCCTCGAGGACGGCAGGGGAGAGTTTTGCTTTCTCGACTTCAGAGACGCGTTCGGCCTGTCTGCGGAAAGTTCTGTAGTTGGGAGGACTTCGTGAATAGTCTGCCCCAAGCAGACCATGGTCACTCATTAACATCTTGCGAGTAGCTTTGTGGTAGTTTGGAAGATGTCCGCGAAGGAAACTAGTGACGCCAGCCCGTTCGTAGATTTCGACGAGCACTTGGTCGTACAGTGTCTCGAGGGTTTCTTCATCCACGAAATCGCTTTTATATATAGGGCGCACGGTTTTGAGGGACATGACTAAGGTCGAAGTGAGTAGACCTGGCGGCAACCTGGCATCCGTCTCATTCTGCGCCTCTGCTGGCACCATTGGTAGAGGGCGCGTGTTGTGTGGTCTGGTGGGGAATTAATGAGGATATTTATGATGATGTTAGGATACTTACTTTAATAGTTTATAATAGTTTATGATGATATTAGGATACTATCATCCAATATCATCTTGAAAATAGGCTGGAGACTCTCCGCGGGAATTGAGTGCGGCCTGTTTGAGGCGCAGGCAGAGCCTGGGAGACAGAGAAGCCTGTCGGCGGGAAAGCCTTTGACCGAGAAAGTGTCTCCGGGGAGAATAAAAAGGTAAAGGCCTCAGATGGCTTGATGAATTATTTTTGGCCGTCCAAATATGCTTTGCAGCCTGTGAGTGTGTGTTGGAGGAGTAAGATGCGGAAGCAGAAACTGTGCAACCACTCTAACAGTGTTTGCCACCACCGCTTGAGGGGTGAATACCGCGAGTCTCTTGAAGGAGAGGTCTCTATTTGTTAATGGAAGTAATGACAAACCCGTTCTATGCAGCTCACTTTCTGCTTACTCCGATGAGTGGCCTCCACTCTGCCCTGCTCAGGCGATATTTAACACAACTGGCACCCCTGGCATGTTTTATAAAAGCATTTGTTCAACTGGCAACTCCCGTGGGTTGTTTGCTTGCCAGGTGCCTAGTCGGAAGTTGTTGGTAGAAGAGAAAAAATATCCGTAGTAGTAAAGGATTTCCACAAACATGGAGCCGGCAGCAGATGGCAAGCAGTGCTGAGAATCGCATTGATTTCGTTGCTGCATTGCTAACAGTACTAAACTTAGGATTAACTTCCCTAAAACTTTTGTCTAGATCCTAAAGTTATCCTAAGTATTATGATAAACTCAGGTCTAATTCCGGGCATTTCTTCGTTACAAAAGTATTTCTCCGCTCCCCATCACCACTACCAGTTATGAATACACCCACACACACAATATCAACCATATAGACTGTTATTCTCCCTGCACTCCCATTCTTTGCATCAACCTCCACTCTCATCGATCGCCGCCCTGCCCAAGCCTCTTCCATTAAAGACCTCGAGATTCAAAATCTCCCCCTTTTTATATCATCTACTACTCCTTGCATGACCAATTCTAAAAGAAATCTCGTGGCCGAGAATCATGCTCTGACTCTTCCAGAGTCAGGGTCCGAGGTAGCCAAGTGCACTTTTGAAAGCGAGAAATATTAACCCCATAACGGGAGCAATGTCACCCTCCCATCTCATCACTCTGGATCCGAGCCATGGCTGAAGAGAGCACTTCTGAGACTCCGTCTCCAGGACAAAACATAGCTCATCCTAAATGTTTCAGCAAATTCGAACTAGATGATAACTACATTGCTATCTACACCTTTCACAGGATCAAGCCACTTCTTACGGACAAGATGTAGTCAAAGTTATATGGAGCCCATCTTCGAGGGTGGCTGGGATGGCTTAACGGGATCTTCTTCCTTGCCCCTTCCTCCAAAGAGGGTGGTCAAGGAGTCCGATCCCTGCGTTGGAACATGGAGCCAGGACTTGACTCCAAAGTCCCTAAAGAGAACCTCAGAGGGCGAGATAAAGCCTTTATCACCAGTACGCCTCAAGGACGGGGCTGCTGACTTCTCTGGAACCCTTCACGACTAACAAGCGTAAATTCTCTCCAAAGTCCGGAACTCACAATCAAAACTATCGTCGTTCAAGAACGCGGGTATCGATCCGGCAATCGGCGATATCTACGAGGCTTGTGGGGTCGTCTGTGCGAACCAAGACGCGGTTGAGGCTCGCCAAGTCTCGGACTACAACAAGAGTTACGCCAGAAAGATCACCCGTCATGAGATCATTAAATGGATGAAGGCAGGGACGAACGGAGAGATTGTGGCAAAGGAAGAGGAAGACCAGTTAAGCGGCTTCCTTGGGATGGAACTCTTCTTTCAGTGGCCACGAGAAATCTTTTGACGATGAGATGGAACTTGACAGTCTTCCCAACAACTTGGCAAGCCGGTATTGTATATGACAGTCAGCTGACACTACCCGATGCACGGGATAATTGCCTGCATTTGAAACTCGAGCAACAGTTCTCCGCAAGTCAATTTCAACAGGGGACAGTGGCGTCACATGGGTTCCAGGAAAACGGCAAGAGTCTTCTGCTCTCAGTGCAGTGTTGACCGGATGTTCACGAACCTTATACACGGACAAGCCAATAATCGGATATGCCTATCTTGCTTTCAATATCGGCAAAAGCACCGTCATGATAAGCCACCTGCAGAACTTACATACGGTAACAGATCTCTTCATGAACAGTGGCTGGCCTAAGGCGACTGAAATGTTTGCTCTGGTTATGGGTGTCCCCGAACAAAGATAACATTCTATGGCTGAAGAGATCAGGCCAAATGCATTATGTGTTACAGAAGAGCAAGAAAGCCGAATTCTCCTGATGATAAGTAACATTAAATGGCTACGCCCTACAAGGGAACAAGAATACATTGAAATCAAGCAATGAATAGGACAAGATGTCATTGTATGAACTTTGGTAATTTGGGAGGAAGAAACGTTATCGCAGAGAAATAAAAGTAATATACACATGTTCAGATTGTACGTGTACCCCTTTCTGCAGAGTTTGACGTGCGACTTGGTTGAGAGATCTCTGGCCTTGACATACACACATACACACACACTCTCTCTCTCTCTCTTTCTGGAGTTTATTCTTTTATTCCTGTCAGCCACATAAGGCACATCTTGGTGCTTCGCTGGTGGCTGCCAGGAGAACTATGAATAATTACCCCTGAGTCTGGGTAGCAGTCCGAATACAAATTTCGATATGGATTCATAACAGCTATTAGAAATGTGGTCTCAAAGAATGGATTTCTCATACGTCAAGAAGGGGCCATCATCCGAATCCTGTTTCTTGTTGGAAACTAGTGAGACCAATCTTGCTCCTTGTCAACCAAATGCCATTCAAGACGGAGAAATGTTCACCGCTGTTATTACCATACTCTGAACCCAGGACCGATCTAGAATTTCTTCTTTACACTTCAAAGCTTATGGAATCCAGGATACTTATCGACATTTTAAGGATTCTCCTGATATAATTGCTCACATTAAGGGGAACTCAGATTCTACTACTATCACAGTCACTTTACGGTCAAAGCCGACACTTATTAAAAGGGCCCGGGCTTAATTAATGAAGTGGTTGTAGATGGTAATCTATTCGTAAAACAACAAGCATTCGACCTGGTGTGTTCAAAAGGTCGCGCTACCTCTTTGTGGATGAAATATGTCTCAAGCAAACATACCAACTCAACCACAAAGTGCACTAAAGCTTTTAACGAATTGGGAATAATGCCTTTGGTTCCTTGTCCTCTAGCAAGGAAAGTAAATTCTACAAACTTTAACATAGGAGATGGAGCTGTCTAAATTGTACATGCTTCCATGGGCGCCATCCTCCTCAACGACAGCCATTCCACTACATTTCCCTTGATTAGATCCATTGAAAGTACTGCCTCGACGCAATTTGGCTGGATCTTGATTCCTGATCGACTCCTCTGCTTTGAATCCTTACTTTCTGTACCAATGTCGGGTAATGCGGGTGTTCCTCATTTTCCGCTGTAGCTGGAAGATTCCGTACATCAATGCTTCACTCGTAGGAGGGCAGCCCGGCACGTAGACGTCAACAGGAACTACACGGTCGCATCCTGGTTATGGGGTTAATTTGGGTGGGAGTTGAGTGGGAGGAGGATAAGACATACCTCGGACGACAGAGTAGCTGTAGTGGTAGTATCCACCACCATTAGCACATGAACCCATGGAAATAACCCAGCGGGGATCAGGCATCTGATCGTAAACCTGTCGAAGAGCAGGAGCCATCTTGTTTGTGAGAGTACCAGCAACAATCATGACATCGGACTGTCGTGGCGAAGCACGGAAAATAATACCGAGGCGATCCTGATCGTATCGGGGGGTGGAGAGATGCATCATTTCGACGGCACAGCAGGCCAGACCGAAGGTCATGGGCCAAAGGGAGGACTGACGAGCCCAGTTGGTGACGGCATCAAGTGTGGTCCTGTTGAATGGAACAGATTAATGCTGGTCCAGTATTTCGGTAACGAATGCGATTTTCTCGACACAAGCGAAGGTTGCAGGAATAACATACAGCGCATACTGCAAGGCACCCTTAGGAGCAATCTCGCTGGGCAGCGGAACCTCTCTGCGAACCTTTCCTACACCAGTTGCTGAGTGAGTCTGGAGGGCGCTAGCATCGCGGCGAGAGTTGGTCGTGAAGGCGGCAGCGGTAGTTCGGAAAGGAACAATAGCAGTTGTAGGCTTGACTATTGTAACAAGTAAAGTCAGCAACATGTATTGGCGTCGCGATGATCGAATTCGTTGTTCGAGCTATAAAGCCCGCCTGGCCGGAAGAGTTCAAGGCACGCACCTCGGAGGGCCATTGAGGCCGCGGACCGCGTGGAAGAGAGCATTTCGGGCGAGAGAACGATTCGGCAGAGGAGCGAACCTCGATCGCACGATATCAGAGAGCCTGAAGAGGGGAGATTGGCGCGGGCGTAGTTGACGGCGTTGGCGGAGCGAAGCTTTCTTGGTTGATGTTGAATGATTCGCCTCTTTGCTTGCCGACCTGGAATAAGACAATTCTGATTGGATGAGACGGGTTTCTCGAAGCCGTGGATTAGCCGGCTTGGTGGGGCTCCTCTTCTGGTGATAACCTCGGGGGACCTTTTAAGAAAGATGGATGTCGAAAGTGAATGACTTTTGGGAGTTATTCCTGCGGTGGGAGAGAAGACAGTTCAAAGACTTGAGGGTTTTTTTCCTTGTTGAGGTTTCAATGGGAATCGTTTTGCCTCACACTCTGTCACTGGGTTCAGAAAGTTTCATGCTACCAAATCCATGACGTTCACATTGCCTCTAGACCACTTGACGGGAAGCAAGCGAATTCTCTCCAATCGACATGAACTGAAATGAAATTTTGTGTTCTGGTTCTTAAAGCCAGTGGCGAATACCTGGTGTTCGTTGATTTGTGTCTTGATTGCTTGGGCAAGGAGATGGGAGTGTCACTGGCTTAACACTAGATCTTGGGTCGACTACTACTCAGACGCATCAACATGTCAGGGTTTCAAAAATGCAAGAAACTGTGTTTCCATTGTTCTCGCCTGTATATTGGCCTCTATGAAATTCAGAGGCCGTTTTGGTACAGCTATTGTCATCCTACATGCTTGCATTGACGGTGCCAAAATAGATATTTCAGAAATGGTTTGTTACAAAAGCGCAAGCCAGTGCAAGGGGCATCATCAGTCAATACCCTGCCAGCTAAAAGTTGCCAACCATGGTTGATAATAATTAAGCTGCTGGGGTGGCGATTATGTCTGGCTGCCTTAGTGTACGGAGAATTTCGATGTGAATATCAACCTGGAAGTATTGGGATATTCAATGAGTTTAAAGGAGATTCGGTAGGAAAGTATGGGATGTGCATTCCGGGTCTGATCAACGGCTTGAATATCATAAAACTATAATGAAATATTATTAGTTTCCAAGCCAATATTGTTTGTTTCTGTGGGTATTGCTTCTTGGTTTTGTGTTTAACTGTAGCTGAGCCTTTAACTTCCTGTCTCTGGCCAAGCGTCCATTGGTTACGATTTTTGATCGACCATCAGTTAAACAAGGAGGGAATAATCGTTTCGCTCATAATCTAAATATACGTTAAAAATAAACTAATAAAGCAACTCGGAAGATCTTCCCCAGAGTTTCTCTCCCTTACCACGCGAGAAAGGGGTCGTTCACTGACTACTAGTACGAAGTTTGTGAAAACCAGTTCGCGGTTGGCTCCAGCGGTTGAACTAAACAAATGAGTTGACCTGGATCAGTGACAGGGATTGTCATTTCGGAGCCGGGGATAGCTGCATCTTCAATCACAGGTCGGTTATGCACAAAACATATTGTAGGGTGGCAGTGATTTCATTTCAGATCTTTAAAATTAAAGGAAGAGCCAATTGAGTCTTTCAGTTTGAGAAATCAAGTGGGTTTGTTTGTTTGATTTATTTTGTGATCCATGTTTGCAGTCTCGGTTGCTGCTCGTATCGACCCGCCGCTCAAGGATTTAACACACAGGGATATATGAAGCGACTCTGCATCTGCACATATCATGGCTGACCGTAATGACCGTAGCTAGACCCGAAAGTGGTTTGCTATGTTGACAGCTGGTTGATGGTTCACCCTTGGACTGAATGTCGGCTAAGTGACAAGCATTACCAAGGGTAGTTTTCATGGTTCAGAATGCTTCACATTGAACCCTGAACACATACGGAGTACAGACACCGCACGTAGTGTAGTGCGAAAGAAAGACATTTTATGGTTACGTTGGCACGTTCCTCGTCATCCGCTATTATGCCACTTTGGATATGCAAATGGATAAAAGTCAGCCACCACACGCCAAAGCAAAAACTAGACGCGACTAATTTGACATGCATAAAGGCGTATCCTAGGTAGGTAGTCAGTAGTGAAGATGCTGATGTTAATTAACATCTTATCATCACAGTGAGGAGAGCAATTCTAAGAGATTAACAATACATAAGTGAAAGATTCGAAAGGGACGTGAATTCGATTGATAGTTGCTAAAGACATAAATAGCATTCCAGACTAAATTCAGTGGATAGAACCCGGCCTGCGATCACTAATATGGACCGCCAAGCCACCCCGCTAATGGCTAAACGCGGGCAGGACAGTAGTTTCCGTTCTGAGACTCTGGTTCCCCCTTTCTGGCTGCAGACTGTCACTTTATCACCTCCTACGGAAAGTGGGCGTCTCTCAAGGATGGGCAGTACTACGTGGAAAGTGTTATGAGAGACTAAGACTTGAAGAATGCGAATATCAAGTGATAACAAGTCCAAGGTTTAGGTTAGACTTTGGGTGTTGCTGAATCACATGAAACAACCTAATTATGTTTCTTGACCACGTCTCCAAGACCCTCTACACTCACTCATAGACTTTATAAACTGTTCGGTACATGGTGCTCCCCTGGAGCGAAGTTCTAACCTATTTTACCTTAGAAAACGTAGCATGATACATCTCCATAGAAGCGGACTTCATATGGTGACTAACATGCAGAGGATTTGGCTAGAAGCTTGGATATCCTGATGAGATCCAACTAAGACTCCTCGCCCTAGAAGGACAAGGACTAAAGGAAAAGCCTGGCGGTGCTCCTGAGTCTCTCTTTGTCCCCTCGAACCCTGATCTCTTCAATTGACAGCCTCTACAACGACAAAGCTCCAATACCACCACCCTGGCTTTATAGCACCTTGCTCAAGTTAATATGCAGGTGGCTCCGCAAATCTCCAAGTAACTTCTCCACGCTCCAACGCCCCCCTCCACTCAGGACCAATTCTGGGATTTGACTTGCGACTTCCCGGCGATTTCCAGTTTCCACCTCGACAGGGCAGGTACTCGTCCTGGACATCGTTCCCGTTCCACCTGACCTTTCTCAACACCACAACCTCAACTCACCAAATTCTTATCTCACTTGTCTGATCTTACCCTTCTTTACCTTTCCTTTCCTCTTGGTTTCTTCTGTTCAATCTACTCCTGCTCCTCGATCTCTTCCTGCGACAAAAGTCACCGCGATCCCCCGATTTCTTACCGAGAGCAGCCTCGAACATATCCTTCTCCGTCGCAAATCCGAATAATATCCTGCTTAAAAATGCCCTCGGGCCACGCTCTCTGAGCTTGCAATCGTCCGTCGATGCTTCGTTTTCCCGCTCCTCCGTGGCACGCATAGACTCTCCGACTCCTCCGCCCCCTGCATTATCTTACATCATATCCGTGGCCATGATGTGGCCTCGGTTCAAACAATGGCTATCGAACTGGCCTTCTCGATTAGTCTTCCGCTACCTCAGCACCCTATTTCTCATATGTTTCGCTATCACCAATTATATACTATGGACCAGCAGCCAGGGCTGGGATGTGACAGAACCTAAGGGCCCAGTCACTATGGGCCCAAAACATCCAATTAAGAAGCTCATGGCAGATGCCCGCGCTCGCCATGAGAGCCTCCTTTCAAAACGAAGCCATGATCTTTACGATGCTGCTGAGCGTTATCGCGCCCGCCGAGGACGTCACCCACCACCAGGCTTCGATAAGTGGATGGAGGCTGCACTCGCTTCCAATAGCATTGTGGTAGAGGATTATTTCGATCGCATATACAAGGATTTGGCTCCATATTGGGCGCTTGACGCTCACACACTAGCCAGGCGCGCATCCGCCTGGCATTGGGTCGTGAAAGTTCGCAATGGCGTGGCTACTGGTGTGGGCGATGTAACCGATCGTGTGCCATGGCTTGAACTATGGACCAACCTCGTCGAAGAGTTTGCAAAGGATTTGCCTGACGTCGACATGCCAATCAACTACATGGATGAACCTCGACTTCTTGTTCCTTTCGACGAATTATCCAAATTTGTCGATCAAGAACGCGATAATCGGCGCATCGCTCCTATGAAGGAGGTCGTCACAAAGTTTAAGACTTTGTCCAAGCTCGACGACGAAAAACCTCAGCCTTACGATCCCTACTGGTACAATAGCTCAGCTAACTATTGGGAACTCGCGCGTGTGACGTGTGACCCCAACGCTCCGTCACGCAATGTTCAACAAGTCTCAGACTTTAAGGCTCCTGTTGAATATCCCTCAAATTGGGACCCCGAGTACGCTTATAAAGGTTATATCAAAAACTGGACTGCTGCCCAGGATCCTTGTTTGCAACCACATCTGCGCCAAATGCACGGGAGCTTTGTTGCGCCTCTCAGTTTGTCTACTTCTACCGAATTGATCCCATTGTTTGGCGGATCTAAGCTTCCTATGAACAACGAGATCCTTATCCCTGGCGCCATGTACCTTACTGCCGACGAATTCTATTCTGGAGGGGAGAAGATGGGTCCAGCATGGCACGCCAAGAAGACCGGCATTGTTTGGAGAGGTGATGCTTCTGGCGGCGAGCCGAGAGCTGATGTCTGGCATCGCTTCCATCGTCACCGTCTTATCCAGATGCTTAATGGCTCATATGTTGACAGTGTTGAGCATCAAGGTGTGAAGCCCAAGACATTTCAACTGCCAAATCCCGACCATTACAACAGCACCCATCGCACCTCCAATACTATTGGTCAATGGTTGATGCAGATCTCTGATTGCGGGTTCAAACGTCTTCTATGTGAAAAAGTTGGCTGTGATCCTGTCGCTCCTTATTATCGCGAATTGAAGCATATGACCATGAAGGAGCAGTACCGCTATAAATTTTTGCCTGATACCGACGGCAATTCATTCAGCGCCCGTTTTCGTGGCTTCTTACGTTCCTCGAGCATGCCTCTCAAGGCTACTATCTATGCTGAATGGCATGACGACCGTCTTACTCCATGGGTTCACTTTGTACCCTTCGATAACACTTTTCAGGACCTTTACCCCATCCTCGAATTCTTTACAGATGAAGAAGCTGGTGGGGATACCGCCGCGCGATTTATTGCTGAGAGAGGAAGAGACTGGGCCAGCCAAGTCTTGCGTCGCGAAGATATGCGCCTGTACACTTGGCGCCTCTTACTTGAGTGGGCTCGAGTCTGCGATGAAGACCGCGAGAAGCTTGGATTCATAAGAGACTTGATAGAGCCCAGAAAGGATTCAATACGGTAAACTGAGTTGAGGTTCGAAAGCACATGTTTACAGCACATGTTTACAGCACATGTTTACAGCACATTGATCCACCACCAAACTGGATGGTTTAGGTGCTCACGTATATATTAATATTCACGGCCTGGCGTTC